AGCAGGGTTGAATGAATTCCAACATGGGTGAGGTTATAGAAACTTGCACGTACAAACTCACCCATGTAGTACTTTATTCCAAAGTTTATCATTCTGTGAATGATCAGAAGATATCAAAATTAACTCTCGTGACAAATACCACTTATTGGTTGCTAGATGCTGAAGAACAGAAATCCGGGTTAAATCCAAGGCATACATCAGCGTGAGCCTGTTTAACAATGAAATTATAATTATAATTTATTTATTTATTTGAACACATAAATATTGGTACAAGAGGGCACCCAATATATATGCGCTACACAAGACAATGAGAATTTAAAGACAAGGGAAAAAAACTAAGGAGAGTGAAAGAAAAAGAGAACAATAACGAACAGATTGGTGTAAGGTAGTGTAATAATAATAGTAATAATGGGGGAACGGAAAGGTACAATCAGAAGAAATCGTTTAGTTAAGGAAGATACAACCACTTTTTATGAAGAAAGTAAAAGAAGGTTACAGCAGGATCTATTCTATTCTGAGCTATATCTGATAACGTCTCTAGCCACTGTGTTGCAACATCTCTAGGACCCCAACCAGGGAGTCGAGAAGGACAAACACAAGCCAGCCCTTTGCAGATTTCTTTCATGCCACGACACTATGTCATGCAATGACCACCTCTCTGCTTCTTCCAACCAATCCCAGAGTCGGCAAATACTGCACGACGAGGAATTCTCCGGGACCACATTCGTAGAACATGTCCAAGCCACCGAAGTCGGTGTTTCAAGATAGTGACACCAATTGCATTATCTTCACTGTGACCGAACACACGATCCCGAACCTCTGTATTACTGACATGGTGTTGCAACTGGATGTCAGCAATCCTTCGGAGACAACGGTGATCGAACACAGAGAGTCTTCTAACGTCCTCAACTCGGAGAGGCCAGGTTTCACAAGCGTAGAGCAAAACTGCTCTCACCGACGCGTCGTAGATCCGACCATTTACAGTCAGACTAACATCACGAAGGCGCCAAAGATGGCCCAGATTGGCATAAGCCGCTCTGACTTTCACTATTTGTGCATTGATCTCATCACTCACACCCCCACCAGCAATTATGCAGCTACCCAGATACACGAACTTCTCGACTACTTCTATCTGCTCACCATCCAGGGTGAGTACAGGATTACAATCCTGTCAGTCTTGTAGAAGTACTTTGCACTTAGAAGGTGAAAAGCTCATACCGTACCTACGGACACTGATTGCCAACTGATTAAATGCGGATTGCATGCCTTGGGCATTATCGCACAGTAAAACAATATGTATGCCCTCACTCTGCCTGAGATGTTTGTATATATGGTTTACAAGATGATATCAAACTTCTCGAGCACACCCTTCTTCAATGGAAAATCCCAGAGAACAGTCCTGTCCAACGAATCGAAGGCAGCCCTGATGTCAAGAAACACTACGATTGTTGGCCTTTGATAAGTATAGCGGTGTGCTAACATTTGATATGATCAATACATCCTCGACCAGAACGAAACCCAGCCTGCTCCTCGCGAGTCAATCTTCCTCGGGTTTTGAACAGCCTACGAAGTATGACGGAGAGAGCTGACACTCCCCACCCTCGGCCATACAACGATATTTGGGGGCAATATTACGTTTACTCATAATGATTTGAGATTTTAATTTCTGTTGCTTTCCTCAAGTATGTGTGCTATATCTAGAGCTTAGATTCGTGATATACCGCGTACAAATTGGACACTAGAACGCTAGAACTCTCTGAGTCTCAAGTGAAAAACAGAAGACGAGTGAGAAGAAATGTTATTCAAAACAGTACTAAATATGGTACAAAACTCTCAGGTATTTAGAGATCTTAGTAAAAACGAAATCATCATTATAGTCATCTAATTCGCGTGCAGTGGTTTAAAGCATTTGTATAATAGAGTAGCTGAGCGTCGAGATTCTGGAATGCTCCTTCAAAAGATTATTAGACAGAAAATCTTTGACTCTTTCCGAGCTTCTTAGAGCTTCCTCGAGTTCACCTGTGGGATGTCCTCACTGTGTTCTAACATTTGGCGGAGAGTGAAGATATGATCAATACATCCTTGACCGAACGAAAACCAGCGTGCTCCTCGCGAGTCACTCTTTCTCGGGTTTTGAACAACATACAAAGTATGACAGAAGCCAATAGCTTGGACGCAATCGGTAGTAAACTTGTCCCCTGATAGTTGTTACAGGAACGAATTGAACCTTTTTTAAAGATAGGGACAACTATCGACTCATTCCATGACGTTGGTACACTCTCTAGCTCCCAAACCTTTGTAAACAACGTCGTCAATTCCTTCGTTAGAAATTCACCACCATCTTTAAAAAGAGCCGGAAGTAAGTCGTCTGGGTCAGGTGATTTGTAACGCTTCAAGAGTTGGAGTTCCTTGCGGACTTCCTCCTCATTTGGTGGATCAGTCGTCACCAGCCATGGAGGGCAGGACAATCTGACCGATGTTGCCGGAGCAGCAGGCCAGTTGAACTGCCCTTCGAAAAATTCTGCCCATCGTCCTAGATGTCGATGGATGTTAGTGATTGGCATCCCATCATCCTCGCAGATTGTTTCGCTCACATCAGACTTCTTGCTCCCAGTGTTTCGGATGAGTTGGAAGAGCTTCCGGTAGTTGCCAGTTGCAGCTGCTGCTTCCAGCTCATTAGCACGCTTCGACCACCAGGCTTCTCGGTCCTTACGCAAGCTTTGCCCAATTTCCTAACGCAACATCCTTCGTTTGTGGTCAAACTCACGGTCACCTGGAGTAAACCGACGGGCTTCAATGAGTTGTAAGGAACCTGCAGAAACCCTGTGGTTTTACAAGCGGGACGTTTCGCGAAGCCGCAACTGACTTTACTCGCCATTTTGATGGCGTCATGCAATTGCAATCAATGCTCATCTATACTTTTCGGTGGAATGATAGCTAGTTTAGAAACTAGCTCGGTTCTATGCTTACTAGCAACAGAAGTTGCAACCAGCTTGCTGACATCAATCCTTTGGTGGTGGTCACTTCGTTGGCCACTGAAAAGTAAGGCAAGATTTGCGCAGACCAAGGCATGGTCAGAAACCAGGTAGGTACTCCAAAAGGAGCGGCAGTCTTGTACACAACCACGCCAGCGGTAGCTGATCGCGATGTGATCAATCTGCGTCCAGACTTGAGATGCAGAGAGAGGACGCCAGGTGGCACATCGGCGATGACTGTGCCGAAAGTTAGTGCTAGCCAGAAACAGGTTGTGGTCTGTGCGCAGTTACAGTAGACGGTCCTCGTTATCTGTCCTGCGACCAACAAGTCCCCATCGGCCACCTAAATGACTCTCTTCTGTGCCTAGACGCCCGACCTGAGCATTCAAGTTTCCGGCTAGTACTACAATATCTGTCGAACGCACTTTCTGAAGAGGAACAGATAACTGATGGTAAAACTCATCCTTGATTGCATCCGAGCTGCAATCTGTCAGGGCATAGGCGGAGATGACGAAAAGACATCGTTTCTCACGCCGACTTCTTCTCACTTTGATGGAACTTTCTAATCTAACAGCACATAACCGACTGTTAATGGGGATCCAATCGAGTAGTGCTGTCTCAGCTCTAGCGCTCAGTGCGACACCAACACCACCAAGACCAGACGAAGATGCCACAGGGTCCCCGGATAAGCGCACGTGAAACAAGCTTTTCGAAGCGACAGATGGAGAGCGAATTTTTAGTACTTCACCAGAGTCTTGAATACGGGTCTCGAAAAGACAACAAACATCGATATTAAGACTTTCCAAAGACATAGCCAGCCCTATCTGTTGTCCGACCTGTATAAATGTGCGAACGTTGAAGGCAGCCAGTTTGAATGGTGCACGTGGTTTCAGAAACACTGCTTCAGTACTCATATTCAGTGGTAACATACAATTTTCAACTGGACAGTGACTCGAGAACGTTTAGATACAGTCGAATTTCTACCAAAGACGAGCCGCTGTATAAGTATAAAAGAGGGTGAATAATGTGGTAAATAATAATAGTAATAATAATCATTTGATTGTTATTCGAAGCGAGAAAAGTAGATTCCATAGATATAGAGAGTTCGCCATTTGCGTGTGAGCTGCGATACTGCTCGGGTGCCCAGACCGAAGCAGTTGGTTATCTTAGGGTGCGATGGTCTTCTACTCTTTCTACCGCCGGACATTCGCTTTTCGTCCTCTCATTTTCGTAAACAACACTCCCGCCACGAGAAGGCAGTGAGTAGGACTTTCCTGGCAGAGGCTGTATACGTGTGGCCGTGCGAGAGTATTTCGAGAGGGAGGGTGGGCTCTCCCCACTCTCGGGCATGCCAGGGCATTTGGGTTGACTTGAGAGACGAGATTAAAGCTGATGAAACAGTTTTACAAATAGAGTATTATCATTAACATACAGCAAAGTTCTTTTCCATAAAGTATGAGCTTAAACTATTCAAAACGCACCAAAATCAACACAATAGCAAAACTGCAGCATTAGGTCGACAATTATCGACTCGACGATGTACATGATAACGCGTTCCTCGCGGGCTAAAACGGCAGAAATTATTTTTCCACCGTGCCGGCTAGTCCGTGGCGCGAAACGTCTTGGTGCGCGCCGGTTTTCCTTGACCTTGACAACAATCGGCAAACTATTTATTATTCAGCGACCCAACTGTTGGATGATTTGTCTAGGGCCCTGTGATATTTCATTTGCCCTACGAATTCATTTTCGGTTCGTTTTCCTGGTTTCCAACGTACCCTTTGGCGACATTTCTTTCTCTCTGAGTGGAGATGGAAAAGCAAGACGTCCACATTTAGCCTCTAAAAATTTCCGAAAAACTGTATCTTCATACTTGTTCGGAGATGACAAGTATGAGTGAGTTCTCAGTGTATCCATCCGTTTAATTTCACGGAAGGTTAACAATCACAGCAATTCAAAATAAGTCACCGTTGGAGAGTGACAAATAAGGTCGAGGTTTTGTAGATTGTACTTAGGCACATCGTAGACAAAGTGTGATTGAGTATTGAATAGTTTTACAGTACTATGACCTTCAGGTCACATCCAGCTCATTTTCCTTGAATGTGCCCGTCAAAATCGAATGTAGGGTATTTACATTCTTTTTTTGTTGACTTCTAGTTAAATTTGTATCATTTATAATTTTCTCCAATTGTTTTTTTTGTTATCGAATGTATGTGCATCCTATATGTCTGTCAAGTATCGATCTGCGTTTACTCATGTTCTTTTGTTTAGACTTAAGCTATCAAAGGCTGAACGTTATATGAAGTTAGGATGGCAGTTAAAGTTTCACTTAATTGCTTACGGGTTCTCTGCATACAAAGTCATGTTGTCCATGGATATGTCGGCAATAAAATAGCTGTTTTTCCTTTGCAAGTTAGTTTCTTTTTGTTATATTTTTGTTTTATAGGTCTTAGGTATAGAAGTTGACTATATTAACTCTGTACAGTTTTCAAATCACACAGGTTTGCGTACTACTAGTCATAACGTATACAGGCTATGCTTTTGTCAAGGGGCAGGTGTTGGATGCTGCGAGCATGAAAGATTTATATCTTGGTTTGAAGGCGAATGGCCTCAACAAGTATACTCATGTGCTCACAGGTACTAGTTAATATCATTTTAAATTGTTCGTTTTCCGGTTTCTAGGTTACATGGGGTCGCCAAGCTCTTTAGAAGCGGTCGCAGATATTGTATCCGACCTCAAAAAAGAGAACTCAAATATAAAATATTGTAAGTGCACATAATTTGGTAAAATTTACTCAAATAGACTGCGATCCCGTCCTAGGTGATAATGGAAAGCTTGTGAGTTTCTCTGTCCGATCATTTCTAAAGTCTGCATATTGTGTCTACTACGGTCAACATTCTCAGGAGTTCAGATATTGATAAAGACTGAAAGCCAAGAATTTGGAGTACGAAAGGTGACGTAATATCTCGGCCATGCCATAGCCATACTTAGCCTCCTACCTATTCGTCTATTTATACTTTGAGCCCCATATATTTTAACTGGGCTCTCGGATTAGTTTCAGTTAATAAGTTTATTATTATAACACTCTGGTGATGTAGCTTATGTCGATGCTGGTCGTCCAGAAAACGGTAAATTTTTATGATAAATGAGAGCAAAAATGATGCACCGAATCTTTGCTTGACTCAAGAGAACTGAGAAGACATGTGTGTAAGAAAATATAGCAATCGTTTATAAACTACAAGTCGTTTGAATAGTATAGTCACCTAACAAGTCATTTTGTTCTGGCAAACACCTAACATAAAGGTTTTAACTTCAAAAATCTATATTTTTATATTCATGTTAATGTAATGAAGTTACTGACTTTGTGTACCCTGCTTTGGGCCATATTCTAGTCAAGCACCGATGATAATATCCAACAATCTAAAGTAAAAAATATGGATATTTAAGACAAAATTTCTTCAGTTTTCTTGTTATTTTGTTTTCGAATAAAATGGTTTTTAAGTTATTCATATACAACTATCAAATTTATTATCTAGTTTGCATGCGCTATGAATTGTCCGTGGTTTAAATTCTTGCTCCATTTGTTTTCACTAATGTATTCACGACGAACTATGACAGCTTATATGCAGTAACCACAATGATTTAGTAGTACTTTTGCTGAGACTACAATTTATGGACGACCTTTGAGCGATGCTAGATTGACCTTGAGTGTTCACTTAATAACCAGGATCAAATGAGGATTATAAATCCTTTTTAGGAATTAGAATTAGGATTTACAGTCCATGATTAAGCTTAGAAATCAGGTTTCGATTTTCCATCACGAACTAGCATAAGCTATAATGCCGAAAACCCTATTTATCTAAATGAATGGGTGAATTTCGCGCCAAAACCCGAGACCTGTTATCTTACATGTGATTGGTTCATCCATAAATTATAGTCTCGCCGCACTTTTACCTAGATTATGCATATTCAACTTATCTTGAAATTGTCATTATTTAGAAACAGCTAGTTTGTTTATATTCGCATCATTACATTTTCTCAACACGCTTTGTGCTGTTTTTCTGACGATTTCAGTAGCCGTTGACAAGTGCTTACAATTAGTCAGCGCCCAGCTTTTAAAGTCAAACTAGCTACTATTTAAAATAAAAGATACATAGAGTTTCATAAGAGTAGAATATATTGGAAAATGACTAATTTTACCATTATTATTTAGTTTACTCCCCCACTCCACTTGATGTCCATATTCTTGTACTTTTTCCAGTCTTTTTTTTGAAGTGTTATTGTTGTTTTTCGTCAACTTTGACTAAACGTTTTTCGTTTTTCAACAATTTTTTTTATATCAGTACGTTCCACCCGAACTCGTCCAGATATACCAAGAAAAAATACTCCCTTTATCAGATGTCATTTTGCCAAACCAATTTGAAGCAGAGTAAGGTTTATCTGTTGTTACTGTCATTGTTGAATGGTAGGTGTACATATGATTTGTCTTCCTATAGATATTTTTTGATGCCCGCCAGTCGTAAGCTACGTGTATCGTAACACGTCTGTCTGTTCAAGTTACCAGACTATCAGAACAGAATTAAACAGTCAAGGCAAATGCCGGAGTATTAGAAGCAGTATCAGTTGTATCAGAAAGTACTAGGCCCAGACAGTGTGATTCTAGAAGAAAGAAGGAATTCGCGAACTAAGACGTACAGTGTAATCTTGGAACTCAAGATCTGAAGATGAAGAGTGAATGCATCTGCATCTATTCTGAGCCATATCATACAATGTCTTACGCCATTGATTACGATAATTATGTAGACTCTAACCAGGTAGTCTCTACCTACATACACGACTCAGTCGAATAGTCAGTTACTTCACGGACTGATTTTGTGCTTGAATTTGGTCACCCAAAACCAACTCCTACTTCAGCTAACAGCACACATCGAGGTAGGCGATAGTTAGGGATACTCAATACACGTCTCAGTTACCTCAGTCGAGTAAAATTGATTACCTATCTCATCAACCTATTTGCCATCTTTCCTTAGTAACCTGTGTCTATCGTCAGCATTCCTCACTCAGCGGTCCCAACACACATAGCCAATGTTTGTAGGTAAGTACTAATAATAGTCTTAAAGCACTAGACTTCCAACCAATATGCCACAGATTTGAACAGCTGTATCCCATTTTTGGTTTTCAGTTAAAATGTAGCTCAAAACGAAGATCATAAACTTGTGCTTCGTAAATAAGTTACATCGGTTCATATTAATGTACTGCCACAACTTATCTCGCCAAATTAAATGAAGCCGTCTAGGGTTTAAACTCGTAACTCAGTTAATAAAATACTCCTTCCATAAACAAATCGTTATAATATTATGTGAACCATGCATTGTACTATGCAATAATTTGTAAGTCTCATTTGTCTATCTTTATGTATTACTCTTTATTACAACAGAATACTAAGTGGTATACGAATAACGGATGAAAAGTCTGCTTTAAATTGTATCAACTACTTACATAAAAAATATCATATTCCAACTGTAATTATTACAAGTACTAATGTAACTTTATCACCAGTAATGTATGGTTATGGAAGCCGTTTAAAGAATCCAATGAAAAATAATCATAATAATAGTAGTGATTTGTTAAATCAAACGAATGGTTCAGTTACAAACAACACTTCAAGTAATTCCTTCTGAACTCATATACTTGCTTATCTGTTTACTTTTTCTTGAAGCTACTAAGTTTATCAATGTTATATGATTAACAAAATTCCCTAATGTTAGACAATTTGATTTATCTCTAGTTATATTATCACGAAATTTACAACAGATTGTTACCTTTCAATTATTAACTCAGTAGAAAGATATCTACTAGGCCCCCAAATGCCGTGGTACGACCGAAAGTGAGGCGAGTCAGCTCTCCCTCTCAAACGCTCTCATATTGCTACGTACATGAAACCAATGCCAGGGAAGTCCTACTCACTGCCTTTTCTCGGCATTACTGTTGTTTACGAAATTGAGAGGACAAAAAGCGAATGTTCGGCGCTTTAATCGGGCCGGTGGATATGGAGAACCCACCTAAGGGAGTTGGAAAACCCTGATTCTAAGCCAATGGTGCACATGGGCTCCAAGATTCTAAAGGAACAAGTGGTATATGAACTAATTATTGGTCATCCGCTACCATATGACTGCATCTCCTGACGTTGCTCTACTGCCTTGTGGATTAGACCTTTAGGTCGAAGGCTCGGGATATGTCCATCTAAGGAAACCAACTGCTTCGATTTGGGCATCCATACAGCATCCCAGCTCTCACATGAATCGAATGATTTATGTGGCGCATATCTATTTGGTGCCTTTTTGTACGAATGTTTATGTGTTTAAATAAATTAATAACTAGTTTTTTTGCCACTGTCTATAAATATCTTCTCTCGAACCATAAAGTTAGTGACTCGAACAAAGTAAAGATGACTCTTACAAATTTACTTAATATGAAATTTCACAGATTAAAATCATGAGTCATTTGAAGCGCACTGCCGAGGAGTCCCATACTAGGACGAAACGGCCGTCCAGTGCTTCCAGGTTTTCCATGGTGGTCTAGCTTCAATTGACTCATGATTTCAATCTGTGAAATTTGTAAAATCTCCACAAACCCCTTTTGTTAATATGAAATTGTCATAAGATGGTGATTTTAATACGCATTCCAGCTGATGATGATGTCAGTACTAAAAACGATTCCCAAAAAATGCATTTTTCGGTTTGGAATTCCAATATTACACCATTTATCTATCTATTTGTTATAATTGGTATTGTACTATTATTATTTTGAATCTTTTGTAAGGTTTTAAATGTTCTTTTGTTTCCAAATTTTGCAGAATACGATCGTGTACGTTTTAAAATTCCACATTTTGATTACCATTTTATTGGAACTGGAGATTTATTCGCTGCTTTAACATTAGCTCATTTAGAGACAAAAATTGAGAATGAAAATGGACAACAAGTACCTAAATATTCCTTCAAAGTAATTCAGCATGATCTGCCATTGTTTCAGTTCTAACCATAAAATATTTTCTTACTCATTTTATTTCATTTTCATTTTATTTGTATGTGGGCTGTGATACTGCCCGGGTGCTCAGACCGAAGCAGGTGGTTTTCTTAGGGAGCCACACCCCGAGCCTTTGACCTAAAGGTCTGACCCACAAGGAAGTGGAGCAACGTCAGGAGATGCAGTACAATGGTAGCCGGTGACCAACAAATGGTTTATGCGCCATTTGTTCCCTCGGGATACTGGAGCCCATGTTCACCATTGGTTTGGAATCAGGGTTTTCCAACTGCCCTAGGTGGACTCACCGTGTCCAGCGACCCGGTTAAAGCACTGGACATTCGCTTTTAGCCCTCTCAATTTCGTAAACAACAGTAATGCCACGAGAAGTCAGTGAGTAGGACTTCCCTGGCAGAGGCTGTATACGTGTGGCCGTGCGAGAGCATTTCGAGAGGAAGGGCGGGCCCACCCCACTTCCGGCCATACCAGGACATTTGGGCATTAAAATGCATTAAAAACGCACTAAATAATCTTTAGGTTATGGGATCATGATTTCCCAACCTGTTTTCTTGTTTTATCCTCTTTTAAGTTAACAAGTACCTGTCTCACTTTTTTTTCTTTTTTAGGATGCTTTCCAATCGGTTCTTAGTACAATCCAAACTGTTCTATCAAAAACATTAAAAATATCCGAAGGAGGTTAGTTGGTTTGATTTGTTCTATAAGATCCGTCTATAATGATTACTCATTTGAATGTGATCCCCTATGACTGGTCTTGATCGCTGATCGTCTACATTTACAAGAAAGTACAAAAATCCTCTTATGACTGTTACAGAGCAATCGTCCGACACTTAACTAGGGAAAACCTGACTGGTTTCAGTCGGAACAAGACGATACATGATTAACTTTGATGGAACACAAATCCTTTAATATCAGAAAGGGGTTTTGTGGATATTATAGTAATTTCATAGTTGAGTTCATGAGTCAATTGAAGATAGACCACCATAGAAAACCTAGAAGCACTGAATGGTCGTTTCGTTCTAGTATGAAACTCCTCGGAAGTGCACATCCACGATCCCCGCCCTGCGAGATTTGAACGCAGGAACTATTGATATCGCACGCGAACGCTTAACCTCCAGACCACTGAGCCGGCATCGAATGGTGTTAATGTCTAACTTCAACTAATCCACGAAATTGAGCTACCGTCCACCATTGTGTTCAGTGAGTTACTATCTCACACCCAACATGATTGAACTTCACTGGTCGCAACTTGTTAATAGAACTCCCGGATTAACCTCTTGAAATTAATCACTACTAAGCACATGATTATTATTAGTATAAGAAACTTTGTGAAACTTGTTAATTTCCATTGTTTCCTATCAGCAAATGACCTTCGTGATATTTTTTATTATTGATGGGTTTATTCAATATTATATTTCGGTACAATATAGAATTCTCAGCACAAGGTATTTCAGTAAGTTCCTTATACAAAAAACAACAGTAACAAAAGGAAAAGGGTGGAAAAAAGATCTAAAAAAACTGTACAACTTTCCAAATTAGAGACATGTTTAAGAATACAGGTTATTGACTAGGTTAGCTCTAACAACTTGTTCGTCACGGAGTATATTTGCTCGGTAAGGTATTATAGGAGTTTTATACCTAAATGCGTGGATTTTAATGTATTGACGTCTCATCCTACCAGAAGATATACAAGGAGAAAGATAAGAGTGAAGGGGATGGTTAGTATCTAATAAGATAACACCTGCCAGGAGTTTGCAAGACTTCAGATGTCTATCCATAACCATATTAATAATGACCTCGAAAGATTCATTACACACCTTACTAAATGCCTTCAGCACTCTTTGCAATACAGCAAAGTCTTTTCTTAAAAACCCGGAAAAGAATAATGTAGAACAGTAAAGAATAATAGATAATATTCAGGAATCGACAAATTGTAAGAGTAAATGACGAATAATCCCAAGAGCATGCAGTCAGATGAAAAACTTTCTTCAGTAACAGTAAAACATGAGAAGACCAAAAGAGATTAGAGGAAATGGTAACATCAAGTTAATTAACCTTCAACACTATGCGACACTACGGAGTTCCTGGGAAGATTGTCAAGATTATCCGGAACTCATACGACGGATCAATGTACAAAGTAGTGCATGGAGGACGGCTGATAGATGCATTCCAAGTAAGGACCGGGGTCAGACAAGGCTGTCTACTCTCTCCCTTCCTCTTTCTTCTGGTGGTCGACTGGATTATGAAGACCTCAACATCTGAAGGAAAACACGGAATACAATATACAGCTGAGAATCAATTAGCCGATTTGGACTTCGCAGATGACCTAGCCCTCCTATCGCATGCACATGAACAAATGCAGATAAAGACAGCCAGTGTAGCAGCAGTCTCTGCATCAGTAGGCCTCAGCATACACAAGGAGAAAACCAAGGTCCTCAAATTCAAAACGAAGAACAGCAATCCAATCACTCTTGATGGCGAAACTCTGGAAGATGTGGAATCCTTCACATACCTGGGAAGCATCATCGATGGACAAGGACGTTCAGGTGCAGACATAAAGGCGAGGATTGGCGAAGCAAGGGCAGCATTCCTACTATTGAAAAACATATGGAACTCAAAACAACTTTCAACGAATATCAAAGTCACAATCTTCAATACGAATGTCAAGGCAGTTCTACTGTACGGAGCCGAAACTTGGGGAACTACAACAACCACCATCAAGAAGGTACAAGTATTTATAAATAGCTGTCTACGCAAGATACTCAACATCCTTTGGCCGAATACCATCAGCAAAAGCCTTCTCTGGAAGAGAACAAACCAGCTTCTAGCTGAAGAAAAAATTAGGAAAAGACGATGGAAATGGATAGGACATACATTACGCATATCGTCAAACTGCATCACGAGGCAAGCCCTAACTTGGAATCCTGAAGGAAGGCCAAAGAGCATATTACGTCGGGAAACAGAAGCAGATATGAAAAAGATGAATAACAACTGGAAGGAGCTGTAAAGGATTGGTCATGACAGGGTTGGATGGAGAATGCTAGTGAGTGGCCTATGCTCCTTCACGAGGAGTAAAAAGCGTAAGTAAGTAAGTAAGTAAGTACTGTGTTAATCAAAGAGTTTCTAATGGCACTAACATTATAAGATCTCAAAATGGTGTTTTAAACTATTGATTTTTCTCCCTACAACTATATTTCACTGTTATTCCTCAATTATGTTTGGTGTAAACTGATCTTTCTTTCTTTTTTTTAAAGAATCTTTGAACCTTTCTCAATCTGCACGAATCGAACTTAAAATCATCCAAAGTCTTGATGATATTCGAAACCCAATATTAGGGGATTATGTCGAAGAAATGTAATTAAAGAGTAATATAAAAATAAAGAAGTTTCATATGTATAATACATTTTTTGGTATTATACTATTCCTCTGCCTATGTATGTATGCATGTATGGGTGTGTGTATGTATGTAGATTCCCAGTTAATCTTTCTCATCTGTAATACTTTCACCTTTGTTTACTTTAATTATCTAAGAAATGAAATAGAGAATTAGATTACATTGTTGGAGATTTTAATTGTTTTCTTTCTGGCATTGTGGTACTACTAGGTCGTATACATTTTTAAGTGGGTACTATTGTAGTGTGAGCTACTTATATCTACATAAGTAGTATATAACGATGGTCAAACATTAGATGGTGGTTGGAGGTAGTCGACAGGAAACCCTGGACCCGGGTTTCTTGCTACTTGGCACTCGTCAGTAACGTGTATCTGTAATCTTGATGGAACTGGTGCTCCCTGGCAGATTCGATGGTGGCCAAATTGCAACATGGTTGATAGCATTCGATCTGCACTAAATAAGGACTAGACACGCATGACATTGATCGCCACCCAGTGATCAATCAATTGTGATGGTCGGGCATAGAATGTATTTCAGTAGAAGATCGAGAAAGAAAGAATGAGAACGGAAGGCAATTGGTATGAAAATGGAGGAACAAAGAAATGGATTGATATTTGCTAAAGAAACAACCAAGTTTGAGTCAATGGATTGATACTTTGCAAATTAAGTATTTATGGTATGGTTGTTAGATTTTTAATGAGATATTCTCTAATGTTGTGCTCAACTACATTCGATTGCCCTTACTCGTATTCTTGTTCACTATTCTATGACATTATACAGGTGGGAAAACTTCGTGTTTACGGTGTTTTTTTCTGTCTATTTATTTATTATGTTTATAAACCACCTTAATTCTTCAGTTGATATCAATAATCAAATTATACGTTAAGAAATGTCTCTATCACTCTGTTGTTATTCATATTTATTGTTGGTACTCTGTTACTTTTCGTGGAGAAATATAAATCACCAACTAGCAATCTCCATCCAACTCTGTCCTGGACAATCCTTTTCAGTTGCTATTCATTCTTTCGATATTTGCTTCTAATTCTTAGTGAACTGTATTATTTGGCATTCCTCTTTTCTGTTCACCTCCAAGATTCCAAGTTAGCGATTGCCTCGTGATGCAGTTTGATAATTTCCTCAGTGTGTCTTATTCACTTCAAATGTCTTTTCCTAATTTCTTCATCTGGAAGCTGGTTTGTTCTCTCCCATAGTAGGCTCTTGCTGATGGTATCCGGTCAACGGATATTGAGTGTCTTGCGTAGACAATTGTTTGTAAATACTTGTACTTTTTTCATGATAGTTATAGTAGTTGTCCACGTTTCAGCTCTGTACAGTAGGACTGTCTTGACGTTCGTCATGAAGATTCTGACTGTGATATTGGTAGTTGTTTTGAGTTCTATATGTTCTTCAACTGTAGGAATGCAGCCTTTGGTTTGCCAATCCTAGCTTTTACGTTTTCATCGGATCCTCCTTGTTCATCAACGATGTTGCCACATACGTGAATGTTTCTAACTGTTTCAGAGCTTTATCAAATGTGATTGTATTGGTGTTCTTCGTGTTGTATTTGAGGGTCTTGGTTTTTCCCTTGTGTATGTTCAGGCCTACTGATGCAGAGGCTGTTGCTACATTGTTTGTTTTGACCTGCATTTGTTGGTGTGTATGGGATAGAAAACTAGGTCATCTGCAAAGTCCAAATCGTCTACTTGATTCTGAACTGTCCACTTTATTCCGTTCCTCCCCTCCGATGTGAAGGTCTTCATAAACCAATCAACCACCAGACGGAAAAGAAATGGAGAGAGTAAGAAGCCTTGTCTGACGCTGGTCCCCACCTGGAATTCATGTGTCAGTTGTTCTCCATGTACGACATTGCAATGTAGTCGGGCGTATGAATTCCGTACGATGTTGACAATCTCATGTACACCATAATGCCGAAGAGGATTTTCTTATCCACGTTGTCAAACGCTTCCTCGTTTACTTACATCAATAAACTCAAATAAGGTCGATTTAAATCAAAAGACCCTCAGAAGGAGGTAATCAGCCACATATTGGATTTTTAGTAACTGTACAACTGGATAGACAGAATATTTCTCAATGTATTTGTGTGTTAAGTATAACTGAGTAAAAAAGATTGTTCAATTAAGCAACATACTCAACAGATTAGGACGTTTCATTGGTATGTTTTTGAGAAATAATGAAAAGTTCTCCGTGTCATTGTATTGACGTTCGTGCATTCTATAGTCAGTTTCATAATGTTGATAGGAAATTCAGTAATCACAAACTCTTAAATGCACAGTAGATATTCACTTATAAGCTCTATATACAGTAGTTAGTTAACACCGAAATTACTTAACCCATTTATAATAATTAAAAATACCACAGAGAGAAAGACATTAGTTAGAGAACTATGAGAAGCTAATAAACACTGGATATTTAGTTCATCTTAGAATAGGATTCCTAAGAAGTACGCACTCACAGCTCTCATCACAATGTGATTTATCCCTTGGTGATTGATTTAACTATGCACATTTATTTAAATCTGAAAACTAGATCTCATGATTTTATTGGATTCCTAGATGATGTCAAAATGCATATAAACCGTTATGTACTCTAAAGTGAATTTTTCCATTAAAGACACAGTGGTCTAGAGATTAAGCGTTCGCGCGCTACTGATAGGTCCTATGTTCGAATCTCGCGAGTTAGGGTCGTGGATACCCACTGCTGAGGAGTCTCACGATAGGATTAAACGACCGTCCAGGTTTTCTATGGTTATCTAGCTCCAATTGACTCATGAACTCAACTATTAAATTGCTATAATATCCACAAAAACTTATACTAATCAGCACATGCTCACTAGTGACTGGCTTCAAGAGGTATTTCCTGGAGTTCTAGCGAGAAGCAGTGACCAGTGGAGTTCAACCGCGTTTGTTTTGAGATGGTAACTCATTGAATACAATGGTGGACGGCGATGCAATCAACGTTAACAATGTTTAAAGTAGGTATTTGCATTTGTGTATAAGAGACATGTGGTGTGAAAAGTGTCAAGATAACAGATTGTGTGTATACGTAAATGATGTAAGCAGAAATTGGATGACCTACTCAGTATAAAGTGAACTAAAGAACCATGTACCTATTTATATTCGATCAGTTTGATTATATTTCCTTGAAGAAGCTTGGACCAGATTAACGGGCAAAACGTTGGATTTACTTCGAATTCATTCGCTGAGATTTCTACAAATACATTCTTTTTTCATGAGCAATGGTAGCTTAAATACTCTCCAGTTGATGACCAATGGATTTCTAACAATGATATGATGTTTACATATAGTAATGATCACTTTGTAAAATATAATACACTGATTTTAAATTACAATATAATACCTTCAAGAGTGTATATTGTCTTATTTTCGCTTTGACTATTGATCTATTCGTGACTGCTACAATTCGTATTAGATAGACTTGGAAATCCTTCCACAGTGTAAGCAACCGGGAAGTGATAACCATCCTAATACTTCCAATAGTACTCAAGACCATTGTATTCATAATCAACCTCCATCTTCAATTCCTATTATTCCTCCTACATCGACTTTCAACTTCCTCTTTTGGTTTCCTCCTAGTGTGTCATCATAGCAAACGATTCAACATAGGGAATCACTAGTTTGTTTATTACCTCATTACTCTCAATTCTACTTTTCATAAATTGTTAGTTCAGACCCAATCATTACTCTCCTCAGAATAGAAAGCCAACTTTTATCAAAGTATATTCCTGAAGATTCATAGAAGACAGTACTGCAATTTAAACATTTACAACAGAACTAGTTTAATCTTTGAAGTAAAGTTGAAATGATTAGACTAAACCAGTACTTCAATGGATTACTTATATTCTTTCCTATTCCATACATTGACAAATACTGATAATACAAAATACGAAGTTGGCTTTCATCAATTTATGCGATAGAGTGTTAAGTACTTTACGAATTGACAGTGTAAAATACAATATTGTCAAGTAATGGCAATTCATACTGCGGTGTGTACTACTGATATCGTTAGATATAAGTAGTATAAATCAATCAAAAGCGGTAGAAATTTAAGAAGATCGAAAAAAAAATAGAACGAGAACAGAGAATGATTGGTGTGGAAACGAATAAACAGTCAAGTCCGAGACAATGGACTGACATTTTGCAAATGAAGTATTTACGGTATGGTTCTCAGATTTTATTAAGAGATTCCTTAATTTTGTATTCAAATACATTCGATTGTTCCCATTTCTGTTCTCGTTCACTACAATACTACTGTCATGCTATTTCTTGAAAAGGAATAAAATGAAACCAGATGACACATTTATAGTCTGTAATGTATGTATTCTGCATATCCACCATCTATCTTTATTTAGAATGCTTTTGAATTAAGGTAATACGCACAGTATGCACATATGCCAATAAAAGACTGATCCATTTCAATCCTAAACGTCAGTGGGAAGATTCAAACAAACAATACTAGGTGAATATAAACTTCACCCCATTTCACAAACAAATGGCTAGTAGGACTCAGTAGCTAAGTCGATAACGCAATGGAGTTTAGAGCATAAAGTACTGGGTTCAAGTCCTGGAATGAACACTAACTCTGAGATGCAAATACATCCAGCGGACGAGTTCTAAATAGGACTGAACATGCATCGTGGATTCTATTGCTAGCCACTACCCATTACTTACTTTCGCCTGTTAATCTCAATGGAGCATAGGCCACCGACCAGCATTCTCCAACTCACTCTGTCCTGAGCCTACTTTTCCACTTCTATTTAATTATTTATTCTTCTCATATCTGTCTCCATTTCTTGGTATAATGTGTTCTTTGATCTTCCTCTTCTCCTTTAGCCTTGAGGATTCCAAGTAAGGGTGCTTTCCTCAATCTGTGTCTTATCCAATTTCAGAGCTTCTTTCTGACTTCTTCCTCGGCTGGAATCTGGTTTGTTCTCTCCCACAGTAGACTGTTGCTGATACCACTATCCATATTTGTATTTGAATGAAGTTATAAACTATTGTTCAGTTAGATAGTGGTTGGAGGTAGTCGACAGGAAACTCTGAACCCGGGTTTCTTGCTACTTGGCACTCGTCAGCAAGGTGTACCTGTAATCTTTGAGGGAACTAGTGCTCCCTGACGGATTCAATCCCGTGTCACCCAGCTTCACAGTCAGAGACGTTACCGCTGAGCTATCCGGGCCTCAACCAACCTCCTGTAGGACTGAGATGTAATCACAATTGATTGATCACTGGGTGGTGACCAATGTCATGTGTATCAAGTCTTTATTAGTGCAGATCAAATGCTATCGACCATGATGCAATTTCGCCATCAGCCCAGGGTTTCCTGTCGACTACCTCCAACTATCATCTAATCTCACAATAGCGCACGCAGTGTCGAGTCACCTAGACTGGTAAGGACTTGACACATAGTGACGTTGGTCACTACCCAGTGATCAATCAATTGTGACTATTGTTCAGTATTCAATAGGTTTAACATACTGGTAAACCCGTCGTTTTAAACAAACAAACAAGAACAACCTATTCAATCTCAATAAGTATATATATATATATTATTGAATTACTTGTTTTGTACAATCTTCATTATATAGTATCAATTATTAAGGTAATAATTATTGTTGACCATTCATAATCACAATTCGAACTACAATTGAATTGAGCAAAATGATTGATCTGAAAGTTTCTACAATTTGTTGATCACAATATGATTGGATCCATTTTTTTGGTCATTTAAAGTTATATATATCATGGAAATAGATTCACATTCTAAAAATTTTATACACCGGAAGTATGTTGGATTATTATTTTATCAACTGTAAATAATGATGTAAAAGAAACAAGCTAAAATGCAATTGACTAATATAAATGTTAATATGGACAAATTGACACGGCACCAATCCTACAAAGCAATAACAACAACAACAACAATTGTATCAGTTATTATACTACTTGAATGTTTTTAATCTAAACAATTAACACACATACATCAATGATCAGGGAAGTTTCGTAGAGATTGTAGTCACTTTAATAGTTGAGATCATGAGTTAATTGAAGTTAGACCATCATGAAAAACCTAGAAGCACTGGATGGCTGTTCCATTCTAGTATAGGACTCCTTATCAGTATACACATTCACGATCCGTCCTCGTGAGATTCGAACCCAGGACTTATCGGTCTCGCATGTGAACGCTTAACCTCCAGACCACTGAATCGGTTGGCATCCAACAGTGTTAGTGTTTGATTTCAACCAATCCTCAATGTTCCACCCACCATCTACCATTGTTTTCAGTGAGTTGCTATCTCGCATCAGACTCGGTTGAACTCCACTGGTCACTGTTTCTCACTAGGACTGCAAGAAATAACTCTTGGAGACAGTCACTAGTGAGTATATGATGGTTATGATCAGAGGGGTTTTGTGGAGATTGTAGTAATTTAATAATTGAATAGAAAATTGAATTCCCGGTATTTATCAATTTAATAGTATATATCCAAGGAAATAAGATAAATCGGTTCCAAATAAACTGTCAATAGGATAAACTAGAGATTAAGACAACGGTTAATGGGAAGGTTGCATTGTGGTGTGCATTACTTATATCGACGTGAGTATTATATAAAGATAGTCAGGATTAGAATGTCTGACAGCATAAGGTCAAGAAGCAAAAAACGGGAACAGTAAGCAATTGGTATATATATATATATACCATGAACTGCAGAGAGTAAAGTAAGTTGTACATAAGTATCAATGCCATGGTTGGACTTGATAGCTTCAAATAAATTAAGCATTGCGTATGAAGTTAATAATAAATATACTCTTAATGATTTCTCAATGAGTAGAAATTTGTACTTCTGAAGTTTCGTAACTTAATGTAAGCCATTTCTTCAGAGTAAATAAATAACCGGAATAAAATTAACGCAAGCTTAAATAGTACAGATGAAAATGGCACATAATTGATTGGCAACACGTCGTATTAGCTAATAGATACATTGGAAGCTTGTAATTAGGAGAATATAAAACTCCAATAATATAATTATCATCAGTGTGGGGATTTATAGAGAATGTGGTATTTTCACAGTTAAATTCACGAGCCGATTTCACCCAGACCACCATTGAAAACCTGGAAGCACTAGAAGGCCTTCTCGTCCTGTTATGGGTTACCTCAGCGGAGTGCGTTCATGAGCAGACAAGTAGTAATCGAACCCAGGAGCCTCGGTGTCGCCTGTGAACGCTTAACATCTGAACCACTGAACTGGCATCCAACCGTGTTAATCTCTAACTTCAATCGATCCATGATCTTGCTCAAACCTTCATCCATTGTCTGAGTTGAATAACTGTCCTACAAGTGCACACCCACGATCCTGCCTCACAAGATTCGTGGAATAGTTGAAGTCAGACTGTCTCAGTGGTTCAGATGTTAAGCGTTAGGTCTTGAGTTTGAATCTCGCGATCTGGATGGTGGATGCGCACTGCTGAGGAGTCTCACAATAGGATGAAACGGCCATCCAGTGCTTTCAAGTTTTCCATGGTAATCTAGCTTCAATTGACTCATGGTCTCAACTATTGAAATATTTTATATGTTTAGTTTCATCTTTCTGTTTTTCTTCAACTTTTATTTCGTTATGTAATCATCTTGAAACACTTGAGATTGATGAATGTTTTTATGTGTTATTTATTTTCGATTTTCAAATAAACCATTGTAGCCATTAAATTACCATGACAATGATTATACAGTAAACTGGAGTATAGTGTAGTAAGTTAATTAGTCGAATGGTCTTTAAGACTTCTTCAGTGACATAGCTGGTTTGTTTGATTATATTGGTAAAACAATGTGGTTTTATCTTGAACTTAAAAATTAGCTAACTGTTAAGCTTTATACATTGCAAACAGTAATAATGTATGTAACCATTAGATGAACAAAAACTACTGGACAGTTGTTTCTTCCTAGTATGAAATCCCTCAACAGTGAGTATCTAGGGATCGAACCAAGAACGTCAGTCTCGTAACGAGTGCTTAACATGTAAACCGCTGATCTGGCATCTAGTAGCATACATTTCTAACTCCAATTAATTCACGATATTATACAACTACTTATGAATGGGATGGATAGATAACTACCTCACACTCAACAGAGTTGAATTCCACCGAAAACAATGAAAGATAATTATATAATACTATAAACTAATTACAATTAGACAGAATAAATCATTTTAAGACATCCCAGTGGTCGAAAGATTAGAAGCCCATCGCGAGACCTGAAGATTATGGGATTCGATTCTCAATGAGGTTGTGAATATGCATTTTTAAGGAAATCCATACCACGTGTTGAGTATGCCCGAATACCGATTACCACTAGTGTTAGGGATGTTTTGAAGAATGTTAAGGGTGACCAAACCAAAATGTGGCATCAGTGCATGAAGTCACTAACTTCCGGTCTAAGCCATGTTGGCAGATGCAGACTACTTGAATGAGGGTCCACGTGACTATCGTAACCAATGGTTGGAGACTCTGGGTGATATGGCTCAGAATCGATCACAATGGCGTAGGTGTATACACTGTCTTCTCTTAAACTATGAGATTAAAATCGCCTCACATCTTTCTTCCTGTACTATATCCTTATATGCAATCTTTCTTTTATATATTACCACCACTGGATTAACCACTTTTATGAATTCGATGTTCATCTTGTTGTGCTAATGATCTATCGCAACTTGAACCGATGCATATATGTACCTTGTCCTACGTTGTAGCTGACTGACTGACTTTTCCAGTTCATGATCACAATAAAAATTCAATGAAGTAATTAAAAACAGAAACAAAGTTGGAAAGAAAGAAGAAAAAAAAGGAGAATAATGTAACTTACAAAAAAATCCACAAGTTGTATCACTATTTCACCTTGACGTTTTCTATCTAATATATTCTCATATTTTCTTTTATGTTCTTCTTCTAATTTTAATAAATCATTTGGAGATAATGTAGAACTTTGTTTTGTCACATCTGGAACACTTCCACGTTTAATACTCTATGAAGAAAAAATAATCATCAAGAATTCAATAAAATGATCTATGAACGAACCAATCAGATAAGAGGTCTCTAATTTTAGCTCGGAATTCATTTATACACATTTAGTTAAATAACAGTTTGATATTATAGTTGATGTTAGTTCGTGATGAATATCCTAAATCTAATTCTTAACCGCTAGCCATCAACTGCAAATGAGAATTCTAATTCCTTATACTGGTTTATAACCCTCAAGGTCACTTTAGTGTCGCCCAAAGGTCATCCATAAATTATCATCTCACCATCCGTTCTATTCTACAAGTGATTAATTAGTGAACCCTGGTACGACCGAAGGTGAGAAGAGTCAGCTATCCCTCTCCAAGCGCTCTCATATGGCCACGTACATATAACCACTGCCACAAAACTCCTACTCACTAACTTCTCGCACCACGGGTTTTGTTTACGAAATGGAGAGGATAGAAAGCGAATGTTCGGCGCTTTGACCAGGTTGGTGGATACAGAGGATCCACCTAGGAGAGTTGGGAAACCCTGATTCTAAACCAATGGTGCACATGCACTCCAGTATCCTGAAGAAATTAATGCCGTAGGAACCAATCGTTGGTCACCGGCTACCATGGAACTGCATCCCCTAAAGTTGCTCCACTGCCTTGTAGATCAGAGCTTTAGATCAAATGCTCTGGGTGTGGCCCCCTAAGAAAACCACCTGCTTCGGTTCGGGCACCCGGGCAATATCAAAGCCCTCACACATATCAGATGAGATTTGTGTGGTGCATATCTATTTGATGCCTTCTCGTACCAATATTTATGTGTTCAAATAAATAAATAAAACATTTGAGAGAATATTCTCAGAACATTGATAAATCAAGATGAAATTCCTTATGTCTGGAGTTTCGTTCTTCATATCGAGTCATGAATTACGGAACTTCTCTGTTAAATTAGATGATATCAAGCAAATTTTGTTGATAAATTCAAAGCAAGACTATATCTCAATGGTTACTTAACCTCTTACCTTTCCATCTGAAAACTGAAAATTAATACATTTATCATGTTCTTTTAAACAACCAACTGATATATCTATACTACTGCATAGCAAGATAATAAACAGCAGAAATGTATATTTATCGTGAGAAGTTACATAGTATTCATATATTACATATGCATAGCCTTCAATCGTCTAATTGCATTTTTCAGTATGTTGTGCAATCTGAATATTCTTCTCATTTGGTCTTCAAGTATTTTGCCAACCCCGCACCTCCAATACACTGGAACCCTTCATTTCATCCGACAATTGTAATAACTTTGACGTCACGTTCCCCTACACACTACTTATAAATGATTTTGTGAGTAGCATCCACTGCACTACTTCTGTAGTGTTCGAACACAAAATTACAGAATCTCCTGGTAAAATCTAAGAAGCATACAGTAAATACTTCATTTACAAAATATCAATCAATCGTCTTAGACTTCACTGTTCTCTTCACTTCCACACCTATAGCTTTTGTTCTCATTCTTCCCTCCTCGATCTTTTTAACTACCTGCTCCGAGACATTCTATTCCTGACTGGTGTTATATACTACTTATGTCGATATAAGCAGCACGCACTACACCAACTAGCACCTCAGTTGACGGCCCGCATCATCATCCGCAGAACAGCAACCTTTCCTCCCTCTTGATTGACAGCGACACCAAATGTAATGAACAAGAACACAAATGGGGACAATCGCATGTATTTCAACACAAAATTACAGAATCTCTTAGTAAAATCTGAGAATCATACAGTGAATACTTCATTTACAAAGTGTCAATCAGTCGTCTCAGACTTCACTGTTCTTTTACTTCCATGTCAATTGCTTTATGTTCCCATTCTTTCCTTCTTAACTTTCTGATGTCAGACATTCTATCCGTGACTAGTGTTATATACTACTTATGTCGATATAAGTAGCCCACACCAAATTTTAAGAATATTAAAATTTACACCGGCGAGACTCTAATTTATGGACGGCCTTTGAACGAATCTTAAGTGACCTTGAGAATTATTAGACAATCAGCAAACAGTCAGTATAGAGTAAAAATATGTTATACAAAACCAAGGAAGTAAAGTTGATACACTTCTTATATGTGGTTCAAAAAGTTGTCAAGGTTAGAAAGAGGTTCAGTGGTTCTAAAATCACAATGCATATAGTAGAGGAAATCATCCATATTGCTACAGAATAGTCGGCATCTGTAGTCATGATAAAGTCTCAAAAACTTTCAGTCTCGACCACATAGCTTCAATATTGTTTATGTGCACTCCAGTTGTTGTTGAGTGCACAGAATGCTACTTGTGGATAACGACACGATGCACATAATGAAGCTTATGTAAGAGTCTATACGCTCTCCAAACATCCGTATATATTGTAGTACCTGGCTGCAATCAGTGTTACCGATACTTCTATTATCCAGTTCGCGATAATTGTCATAATTTGCCTTAGTTAAGCATTATATATGGGGTTTTCATCACGAACTGAAATCAGCTATAATGCCAGAAATTTATTTAGTCAAATGGATGATAGACTTTCGAGGCCAAAATATGAGATCTGTTATTTTATACCTGATTGGTTCGTTCACAAATTATAGTCCCACCGTTTTATTTGTTATAGCTGCTTAATTATCATGTTTTATATAAAATCCCCTATGAACCGATCGTCATCCATTGGCCGGATAACATCAACAATAGCCTTCTGTGGGAGAGAACAAACCAACTTCCAGCTGAAAAAGAAATTAGGAAAAGACGATGGAAATGGATAGGACATACATTACGCAAATCACCAAACTGCACCACGAGGCAAGCCCTAACTTAGAATCCTGAAGGGAAACGGAAAAGTGGAAGGCCAAAGAAAACATTACGTTGGGAAATGGTATCAGATATGAAAATGATGAATAACAACTGGAAGGACTGGAAAGGATTGACCAGAACAGGGTTGGATGGAGAATGCTGATGTGTGGCCTATGCTCCTTCATGAGGAGTAACAAGCGTAAGTAAGTAAAGTAAGATGAACCGATCGTACGTTAGCATGAAGCACTGAAGTTAGCGCCGTAACCTTGAAATCTCCAAAACTCTGCTGATTGGCTCATCCATAAATTAGAATCTCACCATTTACACCATATATACATATCATGAAAAAACAAAACAAAACAAAATAATCGGGTTATTCACTACTTACTTGAGATAAATCAATTCTTGATTCTTTATAATATATTGGTAATGGAGTTAATTGATCTTGTGGATCTTCAATTATTACATTAGCTACAACGAATGGTGATTGATTCATTCTTGAATGAGAATATTGTTGTGATGTATTTGTCATTGTAGACATTACATTAATATGATTAGTATTAGTTAAATATGAAGTTTGTATATCTCTATTCATTGAAATAGGTAATGTAGATATTTGTTTCAATGAGTCTAATTTACCTGAGTTATTCATTGAATTCTTTTGTGATAAATGAGTAAATAATAACGAATCTTCATGAATAGGAGAATAAGCATGAGCTCTTTTACGTATACCATTATCTGTAAAATAAATCACTGATGAATTATTATTAGAAGATTGTTCATGTTTAGTATTGATGTTATGATTTGATAAATGTTGAATAGTTGATAAATTGTTTTGAGTATTCCTACTTGACGATTGATTACACATAGTAACTGATGTATTGTTACTAGGCTAAATTTAGTTTCCATTTAAAAATATCAAAAAATAAACATATATATAGTTGATTATAATTGAAATCAATAAACAAAGAGTTTAGTGAAGTGAAATTAATATTCAATTTGTTAGAGACATGTTAATTCAATGTCCATTTACCTTAGTACTTATATGTATAACAACTTAGTAACTAAGGGTAAATTGTTTAATCTACCTGATAGTTATCATTTACTCACGTAAAATCTGATTACTTACTTACGCCTGTTACTCTCAATGGAGCATAATGTTGGGCTGATCCAGAAATCACTTGCAAAAGACAAGCAAGCATCAAGAAACATTAAGAAGTGTTTCGTCCAATCAGCGCTCATTTGGAGTCTTGGCCAGAAATATCAAGGTAGCGAAACGTCACATGCGGAAGCTCTGATTGGTTGGCTACTACAGTGCTACTATGTCCAGTAGCATTCCAGAATATTTCGGCGACCCAAGGACATTTAGATATATTATGAAAACCCTATATTTTCTGTAATAAAATGATCCTCGGAGTAAAGTATTTTCCCTCATACTTGCGTCTTCTCTCTGGTGTTCAAGTCGCTGTGCAGTTCTAGCTTTCGGGGTACCAGAATAGCTTAGGAAACTAATATAGCGTTCAATCGATAAAAATTATCACATAGACCACCGACCAGCATTTTCCAACCCAATCAGTCATGACCCTTCCTTCCCAGTTCTATCCGATTGTTGTTCATTCTTTTAATATCTGTCTCCATTTCTCGGCGTAATGTGTTCTTTGGTCTTCCTCTTCTCCTTAGGCCTTGAGGATTCCAAGTAGGGGCTTGCTTTGCGACACAGTTGGGTGCTTTCCTCAATATGTGTCCCATCCACTTCCGGCTCCTGATTTTGTTCTCTGCTGGAATCTGGTTTGTTCTCTCTTATAATAGGTTGTTGCTGATAATGTCTGGTCTACGGATCCGAATTATTTTGCGTAGACAACTGTTAATAAACGCTTGTATGTTCTGGATGGTGGCTTTCGTATTTCTCCAGGTTTCCGCCCCATACATTAGAATTGTCATCACATTTGTATTGAGAATTCTGACTTTAGCGTTGGTTGACGGTTGTTTTGAGTTCCAGATGTACTTCAGTTATAAATATACCGCTCTTGCTTTGCCGATCTGCGCCTTTACATGTGCATCAGATCTGCCGTGTTTATCAATGATGCTGTCCAGATATGTAAAGTTTGTTACATCCTCCAAATCTTCTCCGTCAAGTGTGATTTGATTGGTGCGCTTTGTGTTGTATCGTAGAATCTTGCTTTTCCCTTTGTGTATGCTGAGACCTACTGCTGCTGAGGCTGCTGCCACATTGGTCGTTTTTTCCTGCATTTGTTGTTGCTTGTGCAATAGAAGAGCCAGATCATCTGCGAAGTCTAGATCGTCCAACTGCATCCTAGATGTCCACTGTATCCAATGCTTCTCCCCAGATGTTGATGTCTTCATAATCCAGTCGATCATTATGAGAAAGAGAAATGTAAAGGCTGATGGTAACACTTAAATAACTATGATGGAAGTAGACGAGTTATAGTTACGTCACACATTTGAATGAATCAAATATAAGAGACTACTTTAAATTATGAAAGGAACTCCTTCACTTTTTCTATCTCAATGTTTGTGCCAGTATACTTTGGTTATTAATAATCAGTTGTTGAAATAAATCATTAGATTTGAGTGTCTGTGTTCATGTGATTAGGTAGCCTTAATTAGATTTACGATAACAGATCTTGGATTTTGGCGCAAAATTCATTCACTCATTTGATTAAATAGCTCCTTGGCAATTTAACTGATATCCGTTCACGATGAAAACATCAAATCTAATTTCTGACCTTAACGTTCAACTGTAAGTCCTAATCTTGAATGCTCACACTAATCTATAGCACTCATTTAAACCTAGTAAGTAGGTGAACTTTTTCAAGATCATTCATAAATGATAGTCTTACTGAAAGATCATTTAAATTATACTAACCACGTATACCCACTCCCTTTCACAAGATGTTAACAACTTACTGAGAAACTCAATAAATAATAACTCAAAGATAGCTCATGTATTTTCATTCTCTTATGTCCCCTGAAGGAACAAGAGGTAATCGTTATGAAATTTATACATCGAATATATTAATTGGTAGAAAGAGATATCATACTGTGATGTGTGCTACTGATGCCGGCAGATATAAGTAGTATGTGGCATTAGTCAAAAGTGAAATGTCTGGTAGTAGAAGGTTAAGAAGATCAAAGAAAAGAGAACGAGAACAAAGAATGATTAGTTTGGAAGCGAAGAAACAATCAATTCTGAGACAAATGATAGACTTTTTGAAAATGAAGTATTCACTGTACGATGTTCTGTAATTTTGTATTCAAATACATTCAGTTGTTAGTATATGGGTTGTGGAGATTATTAAGTTTTTGATTGAGATCATGAACTGATTGATGTTAGACCACCGATGGAAACCTGGAAGCACTGGACGGCCGTTTCGTCCTATTGTGGGACTCCGTGGATGCGCACTGCTGAGGAGTCCCACAATAGAACGAAACGGCCTTCCAGTGCTGCCAGGTTTCCAAAAGTGGTCTGACATTCAATTGCACCCATTTGTGTTCTCGTTCACTACAAAGCAAGCGACACTGGTTGTAAACAATTACATATGAACATAAATGAATGTTAGTCACTTTTCTTAAAAAAAATCATACATATTATTGAAATCATAAATCGATCTAAGTTAGAAAATCATTTGAAAACTGGAAACACTACGTCGGAGTTTTGTTTTAGTATAGAACTCCTCAGTCACAGTGTTCATCTAAGGCTCCTAAGCCAAGGATCGAAGCGAAGACCTTCGGTCTCGGACGAGAAGGCTTACACATATGTTCTAAATATTTACAAGTTAAATGCTTATAAAGCGAGATCTTTGTAATAATATTACACTATTTCATACGATTTCGTTACTGTAATCAAATCTATATAGTTTTGTCATTACTATTATTATTATGTGATGATGATAAAACTCCGTCTGGAGAATCCTTGGGGCTACTGTCGATCCTAATCCCGGATAAAGGAGGAGGGTTGGGCACAAGCTTAGCAACCCCATACCCTAGGAAACTAACTCGCTAAAAGAAAAAAAACGTCAACCAGTAATCATAATAACCATCATAGTGCATTACCGTGATTCCATTTTCTTGTAATGTTGTTAAATTTGAATATTTACTTAAATCTAATGGTGGTTGTGTTAAAAATCCTGGTAATGTTCTACGTCGTACAATTTTTTTAGATGATTCACAATTCTCGGAAGTACGTGAAAATGTTGCATTTTTTGCATCATAACTTAATGGTTTCGAATGATCACCATCGCCACCATCATGATCATGGTCATCATCATCAGCATTATCATCATCATATTGATTCATTTTAGGATCCCTAAATTGATTGAAGAGATTTGATTTGATTTCATGTATATGTTGTGATTCATTTAATCTTTCCATAGAATAACGTTTTTCATTATATAATGATGGTGATTGTTTTGGTGTCATTTTATAATGTCCAAAATAATCATCCATTACTGTTGTATTTGACATTAATTTATTCAATGGAATTGTTAATGGTTCTGTTTGAGGTTTGAGAATGTTAACTAACAAATAAACAAAGAAAAGAAAAGTTAAAAGAAAAAACGAGTAAAGCATATTATTCATTAAGTATATATAGATAGTACTTGTCACAGATTGATCTCTGTAGGACTTCATTAAGAATCGAACCTCCAATCGTCTGACTTAGTAACAAATGCCCAGTCATTTTGATGGGGTTTTTTTCTCTGAGCTGGATGGTTTGGTCGTGGAGCATTCATCGTTCTTCTGCCGAGTCAGTAAAACTTCCAGTCTAGTGTTGAATGGTAGAATTCCAAATTTTAATCAATTTCTGATATACCACAGTTGTTATTTAATGCTATTACTAATCACTGTTTCATTTCTAATATGTCTACACTCTACCGTTCACGAATTCTTACTAGAACTTCAGTAATATCATAAAATAAACTACCAGTAAGCTGACAATCATATTTTTATCTGAAATGATTTTGTGAAGATAAGGTCAGTTTGTCAATAGTGTCCATCAAACAATCCTTCTACTATTGTTAATACGTTTACTTTTATGAAGTGTATTTTAAATAAATAAGTGTAGAAAGGTTAGAACAAACTTAGTCTTGAGTGCTGTTATAAGTATGAGGGCAGTTATCACTTCGCGGTTGTGCACACTGTGGAAGGGTTCTTCTGCAGGTACCTGAAAAGGAAATTGGATTAGAGGTGGTCTTAGTGATCTGAAAGCGTGACCGCAGTGCCCAAGCGACAACTGCTTGCGGTCAGTCACACACGACATTTTCGTGAGTAATTTTCGTGTTACCTTCCGTACTTGCTGAGATCTTATCACCGGAGACGGATATCTGTGGGATAAGTTGAAGTGTGTATTTTTAGGATCGATCTCCTCGTGGGAAGGCAGCATCTCTGTTATGCTGGTTGTCTGAAGGAAACACCTTACTGTTGTCACACCTCTGTACAGTCAGCAGTATGACTTCGCCTTCGGACCTTAGGTTTGTTGCTTTTACTCTTACTGCTCTTCAACCGACCTGTTTGGCATGGTAGGACCTTGAGGAACGGTTGTTCCAGCCAATATAGCGCGGTTGGATCATCACGATAGGCAAGCCCGACATAGGTATTTGATTCAAGCATTTAAATCTCCTATTACTCAATCCATATAAATCATATTTTCGAACTTCTCTTAAAATAATTCGTTTGGTATACTCAGTTACTATCACTAGCTTATATGTTAAATGTATCGATAATTAAATGATATCAGGTTGACTACTACTATTAGACTGTCGCTAATGATGAAAGTTTAAGCGCCATGTTTCATTAACAGTTCACTGTTTGGTTAACGCAGAATATGGTAATACAACTACAGCACTCAAACGTATAGAACCCACACAGTCACAAATCAAAAGACAAAAGAGCACTGAAGAAGTGCTTATTGACTAAGAATCAAAATGTACAGAAAATTATGGGTATTTATAGATATTAGCGTTTGTTATAACATTATTATAATTCAGTCAATCCATAAAGAGGCATGTTATGCTACTGGCCAATAGTAGCATGTCACTTTAATACTTTAGAAAACTCCATCACATTCCGATTGGATGGAAACTCTTCGACTCAGTCATAGTTCTTGGAAGCTGTCCTAACAGTTCTTGTAGTGACTTTATATCCGGCTTTTTATCACGTGATTAATCCACCAATCAAAATATGACTTATACAATCTTAGCACTATGCCTAACCAATGACGTTCGACCGGTATGAACAGCCTAGCCCGTCCACTTGAGCCCAGAACACCACCCCACCCACCCCTATCGCAAGAAGGCAATGAGAATGGGTACATATAACAATCATAAAATAGAATAGAATAATCAATAGAAAACTGATATAAACTTTACTTACATGTTGGTAAAATGACATAATTTGATGCTTCTGATGAACTACGTGTTGTACGACTTTCTCCTTCTATTGAATCACATTCAGATGATATATCATTATCTATTCTATTAGTATAATAATTAAGATTTGGTACATGTAAACTGTTCTCTGATGTTGTTGTCATCGTAGGACTAGGAAATTTATTATTTAATATTGATTTATCATTATTTATTTGTTGAGAAAATGAACAATCAACATTCACTTGTGGTATTTGAAGTGTTAATGATTTGTCAATATCATTTCCAGTCTAAAAACGAAATGAAGATATGAATATACAATAGATTTAAATGAGATGATAGAATAATGATTAGTATAGGAATTTCATCCTGATGGATGCTACTACCTTGATGTAATAGTCGGGTTTGCTTATTGTAATGAATTAATCGAGATATACTGACTGGAACAATCATTCTTCAAGGGCCTACCATGCCAGGCAGGTCGGTTAAAGAAATGTAAGATTAAAAGTAGTAAACTCAAGGTTCAACGGTGATGTCGTACTGCTGATAACCATCATAACAGAGACGCTGCCTTCCTACAAGGAGGGTTGAGGTTAGAAAAGGTCGATCCTAAAAATACACACCTCACTTTATCCCACGGATATCCGTCTCCGGTGGTAAGATCTCAGCAAGTACGGAAGCTAACACGAAAATTACTCACAAAAATGTCGTGTGTGACCGACCTCAAGCAGTTATCACTTGGGCATTGTGGTCACGCTTTCAGATCATTAAGACCACCTCTAACCCAATATCCTTTTCAGGTAACTCCAGCTTATCTGCTGAAATTTTTTTCTTTTCTGAACAAATATAAAGCTAGAAGATCTCATGACGGTTAATAGTCATCCTGTTGTTATTACCCATAATTTACAGTCTGTTCTCTTTACAGGTGTTATGGCAGTAGTGATGATAATGCCGATATCAAATTGAATTAACTTAACCTGAAGAAGAGAAGAAAACTAGAATCAACTTTGTTCACTTCATCTTACTAGTATGAATATTTTACATTTTACTTATATGAATGATTAGTCGAATGTTGAATAGCCTTGACCAACGAAGTCCTATTTGGCACTCATCGACTGGATTTACCTGCATCTCAGTGTTGTTGTTCACTCTAGGACTCGAACTCAGTAACATTCGCTTCAAACGCCATCGTGTTATCCACTTAGCTACTGAGTCCTAATAACCACTGGCTTGTACAATGGGGTGAAGTTTAAATTCACTTGGTATTGTTTACTTTCTCCTTGAAACGAAAAAAACGATTCTAGAAGATTTTCTTTAACAACTTCCTGTTTCATTCTTTCATATTGTTAAATTGTCTAGTGCTGAATTTCCTAGTTGAATTCATGAGTCGTTCTAAGCTAGACCATCATCAAAAACCTAGAAGTACTGAACGGCCGTACGGGACTCTTCAGCAGAATGCGTACACGGTCCCACACCAATGGAACTCGAACCCACGACTTTCTGTGTTACACACAACCGCTTAACCTATAGACCACTGAAATGATATACAACAGTGTTAATGTCTCACTTCAATCGATTCATGATCTTACTCAACCCTTCATCCATTGTTTCAGGTAGATAACTGTTTCACACCCAACTCCACTGGTCATGTCTTCTGATGAATCATGAATTCAACTACTAAAATTATTACAATCTCCAAAGTCCTCCATTCTGATCATAAAAATATATATCTCTAATAAGAATTTAAGATATATGGCGGCCCGGATAGCTCATTGGTTACGTCTTCACTGTGAAGCTTGATGACGCGGGATGAAATCCGTCAGAGAGTATCAGATACACTTTGCTAACGAGTGTCAAGTAGCACGATACCTAGGTTCAGGGTTTCCTGTCGACTACTTCCAACCACCATCTTATCGAGTCACCTAGACTAGTGGCCACATTGACACTTGGTCGATAGGATTCGATCTGCACTAAGAAGGACCTGACATACATGACATTGACTCAGCTTCACAATTGAACTGACTACTTGAGTGAGAGTACAACCATCATAATAGTTTGTTATTGATGTTATTATTTACAACTAATTTGTTACTGAAACATGAATGACATCATTCTTGTCTACTATGGTGACATAATTTTAAACTTATTGAACACCCATCAGTCACCTCAGGATTACAGTTACACCTTATTGAACAGTGCCAATGACCATAAAATCTAGGTTCATGATTTCTTTCAAACTACCTCTATAACAACACATCATCTCAAGATATTACTAATATTGTCATATCCACTGAAACAAATAATCTTCATTGATGATGTGGTAAGATAACTAGTGATGAGACTATAATTTATGGATGATCTTTGAGCGACACTAGACTGACCTTGAGAGTGTCCACCTAATATCTGGAATCAAATGACGGTTATAAACCTGCATGAGGAATTATAATTATAATTTACAGTTGATAATTAAGTTTAGGAATTCGATTCCGGGTTTTCATCACCAACTGACATCAGCTATAATGAGATAGTAGAGAAGATGTATAGCTTTTCTGAGTTGGATGGTTTAATCGTAAAGCTTTCATCATTCTTCTAAACAACATCATCAACACAAACTTCAAGTAGACTTCTAGGCAAGACTATAATTTATAGATGAACCAATTAGATTTACGAATAACAGGTCTTAGATGCCGGCCTCGAAAATAATCATAGTAATAATGAATAATAAACCTACTGTATATTCAATATTCTTCATTTCAATTGAATGCATCTTATCATTTTCATGTTTATGTTTATTTGAATGATGTTTCTTATGACGTTTTAAACGATATGATCCAGCTCTAGATAATGGAATACCACTATTATGCTGAATCGGTTTCATTGGATCCAAATCTAATGATGGATAGTTTAGATCATTCTGTTCATGATTTTCTTCTAAATTTTGTTCTTGTGATTGATTATGTTCAATTAAATTTGCTTCAACAGTAGCTATTACATCTTTAGCTGATTGAAGTGCTGTATCAAATGCTTGATTACCACGTTTTGTTATATTCATAAGACGTACCATATCTTCTAAATACTTTATACCTTTTAGAAAAGTTCAATAAAGAAATCATTGAATAATAAAATAATAAAAAATTACTTGAATTCATGAGTAAAATCCGCCTGGAGTCCCTCCTAGAGCTACTGCCGGTCCCAAACCCGGATAAAGGAGGAGGGTTTGTCATGGGGTTAGCGACCCCATCCCGTAGAAAACTAACTCGCTAAAAAACAAATCCATGAGTTAACCTTAATTAGACAACTACTGAAAACCTTGAAGGATTGGATGATCGTTTTGTTTTAGTATGGGACTCGTCAACTGAATGCACTCACGATTCGAAATGTGAAACTTGAACCTAAGATCTCTAGTCTCGTATGCGAATGTTTAACTTGTAGACCACTAAATTGACATCCAATGATCTCAGTGTCTAACTTTAATGGATCTATGATCTTGTTAAACCCTTCATTCATTGTCTGAGGTGGATAACTGTCTCCACTTAACATAGTTCGGACTCTAATGTTCACGATTATATGTATTTCTTGAAACTTATAGTCCCTATAATACCCATGAACCATTACTTTAAAATCCAGTGGTTTATTCCTCTGATTTAATACAATACTGATTTCGTTTAGTGATGTGTTATTGTCTAATTTTCAAGGTCCTGTGTTTGATTCCAAGCTGAATCGTAAGCACAAACTACTAAGGAATTTCATACTGACGATAAACCGCTCTTCAGTGCCTATGTGGTTTCTAATGGTTCCCAATTTGAGATCATTTTATGGCGAATATTGATAAGTTTTCTAATTGAACGCTAGATTCGGTTCCTAGCTTTCCTAGTAACTCCCAGGCTAAATCTACACAGCAACTTGAACACGATAGTAAAGGCGCAAAATTTGGAAGAAACGATTTACTCTAGGGTTCGTTCATGTACAGAAAATCTAAATTATTTATAGTATTTTAGATGGCCTTAGGCTTCCCGGAATTTCTGGAAAGCTAGTAAACATAGTAGCAGCATGAGTAATCATCCAATCAGAAACTCGACATGTGACTTCGCTTTCTAGATATTTCTGGCAAAACCCCAAGTGCCCTGGTACGGCCGAGAGTGAGGAGAGTCAGCTCTCCCTCTCAAAATCCTCTCATATGGCCACGCGTATACAGCCTCTGCCAGCAGAGTCCTACTCACTGCCTTCTCTCGGCAAAACTATTGTTTACGAAATTTACAGAACGAAAAGCGAATGTCCGATGCTTTGACCGGTTTGGTGGACATGGAGCGTTCACCTAGGGGAGTTTGAAAACCCTCATTCCAAACTAATGGTGCACGTGAGCTCCAGTATCCTGAAGAAACTAATGGCGTATGAAACAATCGTTGGTGACCGGCTACCATGGGACCGCATCTCCTAAAGATCCTCCACTGCCTTGTGGATTAGACCTTTAGGTCGAAGGCTTCAAGTGTGGCCCTCTAAGAAAACCACCTGCTTCGGTTTGGGCACCCGGGAAACATCACAACCCTTAAAGAAATCGAGTGATTTATGTGGCCCATACCTGTTTGGTGCCTCTGTGTACCAATATTTATGTGTTCAAATAATAATAATAATCTATTGAATGCTGATTGAATAAGATGCTTCTTAGCGTTTTCAGAACCCATTTCGGCGTATTTCGATGAATTTTCTAAATCTCCCCAACAAATATAATTTGAAAACTTAACCAATCTCTACATAACCTTTCCTAAATCAAAGATACTTAACTAGGTTTCAATGTAAACATAGATTACAACAAACTGAACTTTAGGTTATTATTAAGTTTGTTTTGAAACTTTATTGTATTGGACTGTCATGTGTTGTGTACTGAAATGTTACCGAAACCAGTTTGTCGTATGTGAAGACCAAATACTGAACATTAACATTCACTCGCCAGCATCATTTGCGTATTATTTAGTCCTGAAGTTATATTCCTTCACTGGTCAAATTTATCAAACTGTACAGTAAATGATCCTTGGTCAAGCATCAAAAGCCCAATCTATACAAACTCAGGTACGGGAAGAAATAACGCTAAAAACATTGCCCACTCCATGTTTCAAACAGAATATCTATTCTTACATGACACACATTTCATAAATGAACATTAAGTAACATAAAATTTATGTGTAGAGCCTCATTCCTTAACCTCTTCCAAAATAATATTCTAAACCGAAATTGTATGAAGCAGCTATCCACACTATGTGTTTGATGAAGGTTGCTCAATATAGTGAATTAATTAACACAGTTGGATATCAGCTCTGCAGTTTAGAGACCTAAGGTCCTGAATCCGGTTATTGGATGTTGATTCTTTGATTCCCATTGTCTAGGAGTCCCATGTTAGGGTGAGACGAGTATCCAGTACTTCCAGGTTTTAGATGTTTGTTTAACTTGGATCGGTTCATGATCTCAATAAAATTACAAGTCAGTTCTTATATATCAGCAGTAAAATACTCTTCATCAATGATACTGGATTAAATGGGGAATTGTACCCTTAGACACTAACTCACTGATCCTAATAGTTAGTTATTCATTTCGAGACCCAAAGACTATGGGGGTTTAATCCCTGGCAGAGTCATTTGTATGAACTGTAATGGTTTTTGGAGATTAATGTGAAATGAAACGAAATAGTTAGAATTTTATAATAGAATAAGCAATTACCAGGTTGTTCAAAATCTGGATACATTTCTTTGACTAATTCACGTGTTTCTAATGAATAATCACGAGCTAATTCAGCAGCTTTTTTCGAAAGTTGCACTGCATTCTCAACTTTAGCTAAACTAAATTAATAGAAAACAAATGAAACAAGGAAATAAATATCAGCATAAGGTTGTGGAGATTATTAAGTTTTTGATTGAGATCATGAACTGATTGATGTTAGACCACCATTGAAAACCTGGAAGTACTGGACAGCCAATTCGTCTTATTGTAGGACTTCTCAGTAGTGAGCATCCACGATCCCGCATTGCGAGATTCGAACCCAGGACCTTCAATCTCGCGCGCGAACACCTAACCTCTCGATCACTAAACCGGACGGCATCCAATGGTGTTAATGTCTAACTTCAACCAATCCACGAAATTGCGCTGCCATCCTCTATTGTATTGAGGTAGATACCTGTCTCTACTCGACACGGATCAGCTCCACTGGTCACTGCTTCTGATGAGAACTCCAAGAATTCCCTCACGTGGATGCGCACTGCTGAGGAGTCCCACAACAGGACGAAACGACCGTCCAGTACTTCCAGGTTTTCAGTGGTGGTCTAACATCACTCAGTCGATGATCTCAATTAGAAAATAAATAATTGAATATGACTAAAATATGCCTGAAACTCTTCTAGGATTACTATTGGTCTTAAGCACGAGCAAGAGAGAAGAGCTGAACATGAAGTTAGCAACTACATCTAGTAAAAATGAACCTTACTATAAAAAAATAATGCTAATCAGAGTTAAAGGATTTTTACATAGAAGAGTTATAGAGCCTTAGGATGAACGTCGTAATGGTGATGCTGATAGAAAATCATTGAAAAAACTGTGGTTTCAATGTCTTATTCACCCCCTACCCCTTATTAATAAATAATTTTTCACACTTTCCAGTGCTAGGATAACCATCCTTATTTCATTGTATAATAACGTTGCATTTTAGAGCACTTTTCCATTTATTTCATGTGTCAACGCTGTATGTAAAAGAATGATTTTCACTGGAGGTTTCATTTCAGCCGTGTAAATCTACTTTAGTGGTCCGAGATCTGATTCCAATTATTGAAATTTACCTATATCGGCTATCGTCGTATGTAATAATGTCTAACTTCAACCAATCCACGAAATTGCGCTGCCATCCTCTATTGTATTGAGGTAGATACCTGTCTCTACTCGACATGGATTAGCTCCACTGGTCACTGCTTCTGACGAGAACTCCGAGAATTCCCTCACGTGGATGCACACTTCTGAGGAGTCCCACAATAGGACGAAACGACCGTCCAGTGCTTCCAGGTTTTCCATGATGGTCTAGCTTCAAATAACTCATAAACTCAACTATCAAATTAATCATTATCTATCAGCAGAAATAAATGAAATTAAACAACAACAAAAAATCACTTCTTACTTCTCTCTAGCTTCATTTGCTTTAACGAAAGCATCATCAGCTATATTTCTAGCACGTTTTACAGCATTAGCCACTTCACGCATAATATGATAATTATATAATAATAAATATGATTTCGCTCCTTTTGGCCAAGAAAGAAATACTAATTTACCATTTTGATATTTTCCTTGCTCGCATACTCCATCAGGAAAATGTGTTTGACCATAACCATGTCGTTGATTTTTCACCCATTGACCTTCATAAATAACACCATCAGATCGTTCACATACTCCATAACCATGACGTGAATCAGCTTCCCATTGACCAGCAAATGTTTCAACTGTTTCAGGATCGATAGCATCTACCTGAATATACATACATATATAAGAACAATAAGTACCGATCATTGATAAAGAACCCAAACGTTTACACTTATTACTTCAGTGAATTCGAGGTATCTATCTCCATTAAACGAATAGTTTGACAAGAAATACAGTAGAGTCCTTGCTGAAGACTATTGAGTGATTCTAAAGTATAAGTTACTCAATTTATATTATTTCATGAAGACAAGATTTTCTTAAAAACACCAACTTCCTATTACTTGTAAGTTTATAGTGTTATTACTTCATGTACCAGACGCAACTTTTTTTAATCTGTAGTGATGTTTTCTATCATTTGCACTACGAATTGATAAACATTGACAACTAAGAAGGGTTGGACAGCTGCTTCGTTCTGATATATATAATTCCTTGGCACTAGGCATCCACGACCTCGAGGATGGAATCCAGAACCTTCAAGTCTCAAGGCAAATCTTCAACTTTTACACAAATAAGTCGGTAATGAATACTTTACATTTCTAACTTTTGTCACTTTGTAGCATTGTACAAACATTTTCAAGTCACTGGTAAATACCTTGGAGAGTTTATTTCAGCTAAAATCTCTTCACTTACTGTAGGTCTGAGTTATAATCAATTGTTTTGAAATGATAACTTAGTAAGCATTATAAACGATAAGTCTAATCCGTATCGGGTGGAGACAGTTACCAACTTCAGACAATGGAGGAAAAGTGGCGCAAGATCATGGATCGACTGAAGTTCAACAGTAACACCGTCGCATGCCATCTCAGTGGTCTGCTGGTTAATCGTTCATACGCGATACTGAAGGTCCTGTGTTCGAGTCCCTTTGGCGTGGGGTTGTGGATGTGCACTGCTGAGGAATCTCGTGATAGGACGAAACAGTCGTTCAGCACTTCTAGGTTTTCAATGGTGATCTAGCATAAATCGACTCATGAATTCAACTGTTAAAATTATTACAATCTCCACAAATCCCCATCTTGATTATAATCAATTATTTTGAAATGATAATTTAATAAATATTATAAATGATAGGTTTAACCTAAGTGAATAGTATTTCAGCTCGCTAAATGAAAATGATCAAAGATTAACATCAGTGCGTAATGTATAATTTTCCCAAATAAAAATTATTTTAGTGAAATTCATGAGTCAATTGAAGCTAGACCACTATGGAAAACTTGGAAGCGTTGGACAGCCACTTCGTCCTATTATGGGACTCTTCAGCTGTGCGCATACAAGATCCCTCACGTGGGACTCCAACCCAGGACTTTCAGTCTTATGAGCGAACGCTTATGCTTTAGACCACTGAGCAGGTATCCAACTGTGTTATTGTTTTACTTCAACTAATCTACGAAATTGCGCGACCATCTTCCATTGCCTGAGGTGTAAAATGACAGAGTCCTTGCGAATTATAAAAACCAGACATTAGATACTTCATTCGCACATCTTCTATCAGTTGTCTCTTACAAACTTCATCATTCCTTCATTCCAGTTGTTATTACAATTACTGTTTGTTTACATTCCTATTCTCCTTGCTTCTGTCTTCTCAACCTTCTGCTACCAGACATTTCACTTCGAATCGATGTCACATGCTACTTATATTCGTCAACATAAGTAGCATACACCACAATACAACTGACATTAGTCTTTAATGTAAATTATATTGAGGTACAATAGTGAATGTGCAGTATGACATGGCTATTTTATTCCCATTTATGTAATTGTTGAGAAATTAATACTACACTATACTTCAGACTTGAAAAGAGGGCTGAAATGAACTGGATGATACTATATCATTCACCATACAACAAATTCTTAATGGGAACATACTAAAAATTTGTAACGGAAAGTAATGATTTCTAATTGTGTTCAACATTTCTAGGCCTCCTGTGCAAATTTATAAACGAGTTATGATTGTTATACCAACTCACATTGCATCAGACTGGGTAAGTTCACTATGCTTCGCCACTTCAACTCAAATATTATAACATAATAGACTAGTTCCAATCAATTTAAAATGTATATAACTAAATAACGTGTATGTTATACGCAAAGACGGATGGTGGCCAGCAGTGGAATCCAGGACTCGCGTTACGTTCTATATCCTACTAGTCATCTGGATGTATCTGCACTTCATTGCACAAGCCAGTGGCTATCAGGACTCAGTACTTAAGTGGATAACGCGATGGTGTTTGAAGCGAACGGTATTGGGTTCGAGTCCCAGAGTGAACATCAACTGTGAGATGAAGGGACATTCAGCTGATGAGTCCCAAATGGGACTAAACACACACTCTAGATTCCACTACTAGCTAATATCCATCTTTGCTTATAATATTTGTGAATCAAGGCAGTATCGCGGTAATCTGCACTGAATACACATATGCCAATAAGAGATTGATCAATTACAGTCCTATGCATCAATGGGAAGATTGAAGTAAATAATACCAAGTGAACTTGACGTATATGTCACCTACAAACTATCAGCTGTCACTAAACATTTGAAGTTACCAATTCTAATCTCCTGAGGTTCCACACTCTAGTTTAATTTCGTATTCTCCAAACAAATTCAATTAAGCTCACTTTTAATTATTACAATAAGCATTAACATTTATTCATCTATTTAAAGACCATCAGTAAAGTTTTGTGGAGATTGTTAAATTTCATTGAAGTTAGGCATTAAAACCACTGGATGTCAACTCAGTGACTTAAAAGCTAAGCGTTCAACATTCAAGATCCTGAGTTCGACTTACACATGAAGTGTCGTGGATGAGTACTGTTATGAAGTCCCATGATAGGATCAAAAACGGTTATTCAAGATTTTTCTGTTTTTAATACTAATCTAACTTAGATCAATTGATTGTTCCAATGATATTTAAAGACTGTATTTAACAGTGAAATTCCACCTGGAGCCCTTCTGGAGTTACTGCCAATCCCAAGCCTGGAGAAGGGAAAAGGGTTAGGCATGGAGTTAACCACTGAACCCCATCTTGTAGAAAACTGAATCACCAAAATTTTAACACTGAAAGTAAACCACTAACATACCTGATCTAATGTGAATACTGATTCAGGTGTTTGTTCCACTTTAATCTTTGCTCGTGCTGAATGTTCTGTTATACTGCCTTGACGTCGAACACATGCAATTGATTCTTTACTTAATGAACGATTAAACAAATTTGTTAATGATTTTGATCGACGATTTGTTTTATTATGATTTAATTCTTTACGAAATTTCATTAATGATCCACTACCAATATGATTCAATTTTTGTTGACGTTTTAACATTAATTCACTACGTTTTGATGATAATACAAAACCACATTTAAATTTACATGACATACGTAAATCTTTAAAATCTTTATTATGAATATTTGATGGATTTGGACGACGACCAAAATATGGTTCATCTTCATTATCATCTTGTCCACTTAATTCTGGATCTTCTAATTCAGCTACATCACCAGATCTTTGACTTAGAAGACTTCCACGACGTGTTCCTGTATTGTTGTTGTTATTATTATTATTGACAATATGATGTGTACTGTTGTCAGTATTAGTAATATTATGATGAGTATGATGTGTTGAGTTTAATAGATTTTGTAATGCTGTACGTTTTTTAATATCTAAAGCAATTTCTGCAGCAATAGCAGCTTCTTCAGGGAAAAAATTTATTACTTCCCCATATGGTATAGATGTACGTACACCAAGTCCTTCACGTACACCATTTTTATATTCACCAGCATAACTTCCTACAATGGAAAATAAGATAAGTGTGTTTACTTCTTCATTTTTTTAAATTGAACAAACATTTTGTTTGATTAATACTAACAATAAGGTTTGGAGTGTGACTATGAACACCACTACAGGAAGACTACGTGCCGGTTAACCGATAACATCCCCTGTAAGCCAAATATCAGAAGGCAGTTGATGGTTGTAGTCAAGATGTATTCGTTGGCGATCTCGTGGTATCGAAAGAATACCGAGATCGTGCCAAAGAAGTACAAGCGTACGTAAGTTCGTTCAAGATCACAATCAACGGAAGAAGAATGTCTTTAGTACAGTTAAACAAACAAGTACAGTAAAACAATCCCTGGCACAATTGGTTATAATAATAATTGTTTCCATTAAACCGATAGCGTTCTCTTGATAAAACTAGGTCACTACAGGTTATTGAAAGTTACGTAACACTATTTAGTTGTTTAGTCTAAATTCAAGACTACATAGTAACTCTTAGTCATGAATTAAAAAATGAATCTAAATATGATCCTTTAGATATCTCAATCATAATGAAAGATGCATTGTAAAAGAGAAAGAAAGATAGCAAGCAGCTTTGTCTGACACTGGTTCTTACTTGGAATTTGTCTGTCAGTTGTACTTTATGCATGACATTGCAGTGTAGTCTATTGTATGAATTCTGTATGATGTCAAATTCACCTGTAGAACTTCTAGGGTTATTGTGGATCTCAAGCATGGATAAAGAACGAGGATTTCGTATGGGATCCGCAATCTCATCTCATAGAAAACAATCTGGCTAAGGAAAAACGCCAATCATACTTGTTCGAAAAATATTAACACTGATAATATGATTCGTTATCAAGTCATTTACGTTTTCCAATATTTGTTAGAAAATTTATCACAAATGCTCCCAAATAACCTGGTACGGCCGAGAGTGGGGAGAGTCAGCTCTCCCTCTCGAAATGTTCTCATATGGTCACGTACATACAACCATTGCCACAAAATTCCTACCCACTTCCTTCTCGCGGATTACTGTTGTTTACGAAATCGAGAGGACGAAAAGAGAATGCCCGGTGCTTTAGTCGGGTTGGTGGACATGGAAAATCCACCTAGGGAGTTGGAAAACCCTCATTCCAAACTAATGGTGCACGTGCGCTCCAGCATCCTGAAGAAACTAATGGCGTATGAACCATCAGTTAGTGACCGGCTACTATGGGACTGCATCTCCTAAAGTTGTTCCACTGCCTTGTGGATTAGACCTTTAGGTCGAAGGCTTCAAGTGTAGCCCTCTAAGAAAACCACCTGCTTCGGTTTGGGCACCCGGGAAGCATCCCAGCCCTTACACAAATCGAATGATTTATGTGGCGCATACCTGTTTAGTGCCTCCGTGTATCAATGTTTATGTATTTGAATAATAATAAATGATAACAGTAATCAGCTGATAATGCAATCAGCTCCTGAAATTCAATTTGATTTGCCATGTTTTATGTAACATTTCATAACAGTTGTTACCTGGAATACATTATGGTACTTAGGTATATTCACATAACTACAATTACTGTTTAATTTCAATTCAGTTTAGTACGTTTGTAAGCAGTGTCAGAATCTCCACATTATTGATATCAAAGACTGTAATTGATCAGTCTCTTTTGGTGTTTGGGTATACTGGATGGATTGCATTAATATTGTCACTAAGTTAAAAAACATTTTAATCAGGATTTGATAGTAGTTAACAGTGGAATCTAGAACACAAATCCCATTTTGTTTGGAACTCGTCAGCTGAATGAAATCATACTCCAGTGTTGATATTCATACTAAAACTTGAAGTCCATACCTTTCGCTTTAAATACCTAGAATGTTATGCACCGAGATACTGTTATAACTTGTGGCCTGTGTGCCCTGTTCATATATAACGTAACGATACCGCCAATTAGAGAGCAGTGAATTGTCTATCGGACTAGCGACGCATAAAACGCGTACGAGCAGTCTAGAGTCCTTATCGGTCCTGCTTCCTGCCTAGCCCTGGCCTGCCTATGGAGTCCAGAACACCAATCTCAGCCTCTGAGATATGAATCATGTATTTTAAGCATACTGAGTTTATATACCAACCAGACAGACCACAACGTACCAATAAAGTATAAAACAACATTTGTACAAATTTAGCTCAATGTGGCTGTGAATGTGGGAGGTAGTCATTGATAGACTGGGCATAACTCAAGAATGATAAATCGTACAATAATAGTTCATAGGTCAAAATAAAGCTCATAATAAGAGAAACATGAATATGAATAGTGTAGTTATTTAACAATGATACGATAAAAATATACCTATAGTAGTGGTCCATAAATGGCTCCCAAAAGTTACTATTCATTATGCTTATCGGGACTTAACAGATACTGTATTTAGAAAGCTGACCATTTCTGCATCAATGAGATGCAAGAATATCCATCTGATGAGTTCCAATTAAGAAGTGAGATGAACTGTAGAATACACTACTGGTTATTACCCAATTCTACTTTCATTTTATTACGGTTTCAATTTATTATTACTATTACTCATTTAAGTGATATCATGAACTGATATTAGCAAGAGCATAAATTGAAAACTAAGAAGCTTTGATCACACAGGAACGATTAATAAATCTAGATAGAGACTCGTTAAATATAAGTAAATGATTGAGAGAAATGGAACTCTTTGAACTATTCTATAACAGAATGAGGATTTGTGGAGATTGTAGTAGTTTCAACAGTTGAATTTATCAGTCGATTTAGGCTAAACCTGAAAGTACTGGACGGCTCTCTTGTCCTATGATGGGACTCCTCAATAGTGCACACCCACGATTCCACCTCACAAGATTCGAACCCAGGACGTATCAGTCTCGCACGTGAACGCTTAACCTTTATGCCACTAAGCTGACTGGCATCCAGTGGTGTTAATGTCTAACTTCAACTAATCCACGAAATTGCGTCACCGTCCACTATTGTCTTCAGTGAGTTACCATCTCACAACAGACCCGGTTGAACTCCACTAGTCACTGCTTCTCCTTAGGACTCCAGAAAATACCTATTGAAGGCAGTCAGTAGTCAGCATATATTGGTTGGTATCAGAAGGGGCTTTTGTGGATTTTATAGTAATTTCAATAGTTGAGATCATGAGTCAATTGAAGCTAGACCACTATGAAAAACCCGGAAACACTGAACGGCCGTTTCGTCCTAATGTGAGACTCCTCAGCATAATAAGAATAAGAATAAAAAGAAGCCGAATTCAAATTCACAAGATGTAAGTCACTAGAACTTATGGATTATATAAATGGCTTTCAATATAATTAAGCATATCTTCAATCCATCATGTCTATAAATGTTATGTTTGATTATACAATAAGCATAATTATGTTATTAGTTACCTTTCTATTTTGTTTACATACAATAATACATACAAATAAACTAGTTTAATTCACTTAGAATTCCATGTCATTTATTAAGACTATGATGTGAGTTGCTTATATTCACATAAGTAGTATATAACGTTAATCAGCAATAGAAGATCGATAAGAGAAGAATGGGAACGGAAAGCAATTGGTAGGAACAATGAAATCTGAGACGATGGATTGATATTTGCCAAAGGAACAGTCAAGTTTGAGACAATTGATAGATATTTTGTTCAATGAAGTATTTACTGCATGATTCACAGATTATACTAAGATGTTCTGTAATTGTATATTCAGATACGTTTGACTGTTCCCACTCGTGTGCTTGTTCACTACAAGACGATAGTTTATGGACGAGCCAATCAGATTTTAAGATAACAGGTTTTGGATATTGTCACGAAATTCGCTCACCTATTTGACCAAATAGTGTCTTGGCATTTTGATTGATCGTGGATGCATACTGATGGGGAGTCCCAGGATAGGATGTAACAACCGTCCAATACTTCCAGGTATTCCATGATGGTCTAATTTCAATTGACTTATGATCTCAACTATTAAAAATTACTATAATATCCACAAAATCCCCTTCTGATATCAACCAATATATGCTGATAAACCATACACTCAATATGATTCTTACAATCACTGACGTTTTCAATAAATTTTAATCATTTTTTTTCGTTTTGTATATATAAGTACGTAATTTTGTTGCTAGATGCAAGCTACTTGGTTGGGGTCCTCGTGATTATCGTAACCAATGGTTGGAGACTTTGAGTGACATGGTTCAGAATCGATCACAATGGCATAGGTGTATACACTCACTGTCTTCCTTTAAACTATGAGATTAAAATCGCTTCATATCTTTCCATCTACGTATGAATTCTATATTCCTCTGCTACATCCTTATATGCAATCTTTCTTTTATATATTACTATCATTGAATGAACTACTTGTATGAATCCGGTGTTCATCTTGTTGTGTTAATGAGGTATGGCAACTTGAACCGATATATAAATGTGCCTGGTCCTAAGTTGTAACTGACTGACTGACTGACTGACTCATTATAAATCTGACTAGTGTTTTCTACATAAACTGAGAAAGTTTAATCATGGTAAAAAAGAAACTGTATTTAAGTAGTATATTCTAAAATGAAAGTTTAAACAGTTAACCGGTATGTTATAGGTAACAAGATATTATGTGTTATATGAACTATGCTATTGATCATTTGATGGGATACAATTAATTTTGGCTTCATATTCACAAATCTGAATCAATGACATAAGGTAATAAAGAATGAAAATCCGATAACAGAATAACTGGTTAGTAAAAAATGAAGAGTCGTTTTGATATGACGAAATTACGTCAGTCAGTCAGCTACAACTTAGGACCAGACACATATATACATCGGTACAAGTTGACATACTACATCAGCACAAGATGAACATGGAATTCATAGAAGTAGTTAATTCAATGATGGTAATATATGAAAGAAAGATTGCATATAAGGATGTAGGAGAGGAATATAGAATAAGTACGTAGATGGGAAGATATGAAGCGATTTTAATGTCGTAGTTCAAGGGAAGACAGTCAGTGTATACACCTATGCCATTGTGATCAACTCTGAACTATATGACCCAGTCTCCAACCATTGATGATGATAGTCACGCAGACTTCAACCAAGTAGTCCGCATTTACCAACATGGCTCAGACTAGAAGTTAGTGACTTCAAGCACTGATGCCACGTTTTGGTTTGGCCGCCCTTAACTTTATTCCAACGATCCCCAACACTAGTCAGCATTCCGCGTCGTGCTAATGAACTATTAAGTACATAATAATGATAATAATCAAATAATCATTGAATTCTATGAAGCACATCGATAGATACTACAGTTTACCTGGAAACGCCTTAACACTGAGTAACCATGACTTCTTATGGGTCATAAACGTTTTCAAAAATTCATATGGGTAATTATAGACACTAACAGGAATACGTATATATGTATATTGTCCGTGACTGATCTTCTTTGAATGTTTTGTTATCATCCTTCGGTTTTGGATACAGATACTATCTTAACTTAAACATTCTGAGACTCGTAGGATTCAAATACGTTGACAGTCAACAGACACATGAACATAGATCTAATCTATGAACCTACATAAACATTTCAATCAATCACAAGGTTGAAAGTCAATTGAACAACAGAGTTAATAAGAATGAAACTATGAATAAAGACAGTGATTTATCATCTGTAGAGTATGCGAAAAGCTTACTTCTACGTGAAATAGGCATTGATGATGGTGCTCAGAACAATACTGAAAGGTTGACCAAAAGAATCATCTAACTTAATAAACATAACCCCTCCAAAAACATCCTCCTTAGCTGTAAATCGATGTCATTATATATAAACATACATTAAAAAAGGAAGCCAGGATTGAGAAGAACTTACCTCCATCTGCATAAGTTTCTACACCAAAACTAGGAAAGCCATTTTCAAATTCACCTTCAAATCTTCCAATTGAATCTTCTTTACATTTTATTCCACATTTAATAAAATCATCTTTAAATTGTCCCATAATAACCCAATCTTCTCGTGTAAATATTCCATAACCATTACGTCGATTATGTGCCCATTCACCTTCATACATAGCACCTGGTGCATTTGGCCATAAAAATACACCACTTTTCTCTGAACCAGAATCCCATAAACCAGTATATTCACCTTGACATTTATCTTTTGTAATTAAACCTAAACCAACAGCTTTCTCATTTAACCATTCACCAATATATAAACCAGAATCTTTAAATTCATATCGACCAGCTGGTAAACAAGTTGCTTCAGTTTTTACTAAATCCATATTATTATCACTTCCAAAACATTAAACATCATTATAAAGTATCATTTAAGATAGATAATCCTTAGTGTTTATGGTAATGCACAATGGAAGATCCTTATCACTATGTATAACATTCAAATGAGTCTACACTATCCCAAATTTGTTTACTCATGTTGTGAAAAGGTTAATGAAACCTTCATAATAAAGAATAGCATCAATGACATAACTATACTACTATTATCAAGTGGATCAAACAAATACTCGATAAGATAGTTTGGAATGTATGACACATTTTGTCCTAAATTTCAGCTTCCTTATTTATTTACTTTTCTTCCCCTTTCTTATAAAAACTAACACCTGATTGGTTGTTTTTTAAATTAACCAATCAAATCAATGAAAACGTTTCATGATGTTTCTATTCTATCTTCTGATTGGTTAGTTTCATTGCACAATACATATATGTATTTTGTAACCATATAAGGGATCGATCAATAGGTAACTGGGCAAACAGAATATGACTACCGATCGATAGCACACACGTACACACACATGTAGAGATGGTATTTGGTGAAAATATTTGAAAAGAGAGAATCATTTGGCAATAAACTATGTTTTGTACTTTCATTAAGATGCATAGAAACTCCTACACAGAAATCATCAATTATATCTTATATAAGTGAAAGAAAATGTATAAACAGTTCTATTTTTCTTATGGATTAGTTAAAATAATAAAAATTAACATGGTTACAAAGAACAATTAATGAGATTTGGCAAAGCATTCAAAGTGTAAATGTACATGTCGTAAAGTGGATAAATATAAGAATGAACATTTTTGATAAAGTTTTGTTCATTGAGCTAAATGGTTTGGTCGTGGAGCTTTCATTTTTTTTCTTCTGAACGACATCATCATCATCATAAACTTCAAGTAGAAGTTCAAACGAAACTATTCAGCTCAGAGAACAGAATTTCATCAAAATCATCCACTTGAGCTATAAATCTTCTTCACCATCTCAAAAACTAATATATATATAAACAATTAGGATTGGTTCATTAGAATGAAATAGATTGTATCATAACTAGAATTTTTGTATTTCGTAAGAAAAACTAGGAAGTCCTTCTGTACATACCGAATTCTTTCTTTAAAAAGAATTCCCTAAAATTAATCCATTATTATCTGTCTTCTAACGGGTGACTCCAATGTTTGATAAGCAGCGTTTTTATCGATCGACTACAGTGACACGGAAAACACGTAGTGAACAGCCTAGGGTTCTGATTGGTCCCGCTTCCCTGTCTAGCCCAGCCAGTTGAGTCTAGAACGCAAGTCACAGCCCCTAAGTTATGAATCGTTATATTTCAAACATACTCTGTTTATATACCAACCAAACAGACCACATCGTACCATAAAAATAGAAAACAACATCTGTACAATATTTAACGAGTGAAATAAATAATGGCCAATAGGAAATGTTTATTTAACGTCCAAGGACATCATTAGACTTAACATGATAATGATTAGCACATTATTCCTCAGCATCCATAACAATCTGGTAATGATAAGAGTGAATATATAGGAATTCTAGGTGTGACTATAATATATAGATGAACCAATCATGTATAACTGTGGTGTTTGAATGAATTAATAATTCCTTTGTACGTGTTGAATGCTTGATTTCGAATTCCGAATACAGTATATTCGTTTGTGCTCATCTAGTACTCCTTGACTCAATTGCATTATTTCTGGGATTTTCAATTCGTACTATAATTCAAATACTCCTAATTACCACAATAACATAAAAGGTTTTGGATTTCACCGCGAAATTCACTTATCCATTTGTTATTTAAGCTAATGTCAGTTCATGATGCAAACCTGAAATCTAATTTCTAACCTTAACTATCAATTGTAAGTCATGATCCTTACTCTTCACATTGATTTATAAACCTCATTTAGAACTGGTTATTAGGTGGACACTCAAAGTCAGTCTAGCGTCGCTCGAAGGTCGTCCATACATCATAGTCTCACCAAATTTTATTGATTAATTTACTATCTATCCACTGTTGTCATATAACAGGAGAATAAAACCATATTCCATGGTTTATTATTATTATTATTACTATTATTATTATTATTATTATCATTATTATTATTATTATTATTATTATTATTATTATTAGTAGTAGTAGTAGTAGTAGTAGTAGTAGTAGTAGTAGTAGTAGTAGTAGTAGTAGTAGTAGTAGTAGTAGTAGTAGTAGTAGTAGTAGTAGTAGTAGTAGTAGTAGTAGTAGTAGTAGTAGTAGTAGTAGTAGTAGTAGTAGTAGTAGTAGTAGTAGTAGTAGTAGTAGTATAGTAGTAGTAGTAGTAGTAGTAGTAGTAGTAGTAGTAGTAGTAGTAGTAGTAGTAGTAGTAGTAGTAGTAGTAGTAGTAGTAGTAGTAGTAGTAGTAGTAGTAGTAGTAGTAGTAGTAGTGGTAGTAGCAGTAGTAGTAATGGTAGTACTATTACTATTAGTAGTATTAATAGTGGTAGTAGTAGTAGTATTAGTCGTAGTAGTAGTAGTATAGTAGTAGTAGTAGTAGTAGTAGTAGTAGTAGTAGTAGTAGTAGTAGTAGTAGTAGTAGTAGTAGTAGTAGTAGTATAGTAGTAGTAGTAGTATTACTAGTATTGGTAATAATAGTAGTAGTAGTAGTAGTAGTAGTAGTAGTAGTAGTAGTAGTAGTAGTAGTAGTAGTAGTAGTAGTAGTAGTAGTAGTAGTAGTAGTAGTAGTAGTAGTAGTAGTAGTAGTAGTAGTAGTAGTAGTAGTAGTAGTAGTAGTAGTAGTAATAGTAGTAGTAGTATTAGTAGTAGCAGAAGTGGTAATAGTATTACTAGTAATTTTAGAAGTAGTAGTAGTAGTGATAGTAGTAGTATAAGTCTTATTAGTACAAGTAGTACTGAGAGTAGTAGTAGTAGTAGTAGTAGTAGTAGTAGTAGTAGTAGTAGTAGTAGTAGTAGTAGTAGTAGTAGTAGTAGTAGTAGTAGTAGTAGTAGTAGTAGTAGTAGTAGTAGTAGTAGTAGTAGTAGTAGTAGTAGTAGTAGTAGTAGTAGTAGTAGTAGTAGTAGTAGTAGTAGTAGTAGTAGTAGTAGTAGTAGTAGTAGTAGTAGTAGTAGTAGTAGTAGTAGTAGTAGTAGTAGTAGTAGTAGTAGTAGTAGTAGTAGTAGTAGTAGTAGTAGTAGTAGTAGTAGTAGTAGTAGTAGTTGTTGTTGTTGTTGTTGTTGTTGTTGTTGTTGTTGTTGTAGTTAGATTGTACACCTTTCGGATAGGTTACATAAATGAATGGCTGTTGAAATTAGCAAAACAATATTCGTCTATCGCGTCTTTACCCAAAACTTTACACCCATGACATTTAGATCTAATGAAAAGTATTGTATTTTTAATCCCTTAAACATGGGTCCAAAATTTCATACATTCAATTTTAGTTATTCCGTGATATTATGTGGTCATTATTTAATATCATTTGTCTATGCAATTTTCTACTCAAGATACTCAATATTTGTTAACCAGATAACAACAGTAACAGCCTAATGTGGGAGAGAACAAAGCTGCTTACAATTGAAAAAAAATTTGGGAAAACATGTTGGAAGTGAATTCATGTTGTGGAAATCATCAGACTGTATCAGGAGGCAAGCGCTAACTTGGAATAATGAAGGGATACGGAAAAGAGGACCAAACTGCGTCGGAAATTGGAAGCAGTGATCGAAAGGATGAATAGCAGCTGGAAAGAACTGAAATGGATTGTCCATGGCAGAGCTTGGTGGAGAATGTTGATAGAAAGCTTATGCTCCTCTACAAGGGATAACAGGCATTAGTAAGCAAGTATATGTTTAACCCCCAAATTGAGTATACTCTACTGTTTATTTAAATGATATATTAAGCTGAAAAGATGACAGAAATCTAGCATTTCCATTTGAGTTTTCCAACATCTCGCGTCATAATAGTTTATGAGTTTTTTATTAAACCTAGCGGGTATATTACATCCTTACTTACGCCTGTTACCTCTCATGGAGGAGCATAGGCCGTCCGTCAGCATTCTCCGTCCAACTCTGTCCTGGGAAATCCTTTTCAGTCGTTTCCAGTTGCTATTCATTCTTTCGACGTCTGCTTCGAATTCTCAATGCAATATGTTCTTTAACCTTCCTCTTTACATTTTCCTTTCAGGATTCCAAGTTAGTGCTTGCCTCCTGATGCAGTCTGATGACTTCCATCATCTGTATTCTATCCACTTCCAACGTCTTTGCCTAATTTTTTTTCAATTGTAGGCTGGTTTGTTTTCTTCCACAATAGGCTGTTGCTGATGGTATCCGGCCAACGGATATTGAGTATCTTGCGTGAACAATTGTTTATAAATACTTGTACTTTTTTGATGATGATTGTGGTAGTTCTCCAAGTTTCAGCTCTGTGCAACAGGACTGTCTCGACGTTCATATTGAATATTGTGACTTTTATATTGGTTAATAATTGTTTTGAGTTCCATATGTTATTCAATTGTAGGAAGGCAACCCTTACTTTGCCATATACATATAGTTAGCATATATAAGTATTTAGTCGAAACAGCTTTTAAATAATAGGACTTATTGTAATATTATATACTGTTGAATAGGCAAGTATTCATTTAAAAATAATGGTAATATTGTTCATGATTTATTGAAATATTATTGCTACCGTAATGACCTTTGTAATAATCATTCTTTTTTCATGGTAAAGTCTTTATATTTTAGTAGACATGATCAGTGGAGTCAAACCGTGTCTGTTGTGTGGAAGTAGCTCACTGAAGACAATGGTCCATGGTCGCACAATATCATGGATTGACGGCTTAGTGGTCTAGAGGTAAAGCGTTCTACCGCAAGATCAATAGGTCCTGGGTTCGGATCCCGTGTGAGGGATCGTGTGTCCGCACTGTTGAGGAGTCCCATACTAGAACGAAACGGCCGTCTAGTGATTCCATGGTGGTCTAGCTTAAATCGATTCATGGATTCAACCATCAAAATTACTACAACTTCCACAAACCCTGATTGTGACAACAATTTACAGATAGACAAGTTTAGGTGAAGCTTAAACGGAGTTAATTATATGTAGTGTGGCTAACAAACATGAAACTACTGTCAACTGATAAGTAGTGAATGTTTTGCTTTTTTTCTTATCTCATTATAGATGATTCACTGATTTCCATATCACATTAATTCGATGATCAAAAATCAATACATTTTCGATGCACGCGAAAGATGTCAATCAATCACATGGTCAAAGGTCAATTGA